ATGAATCAGTATTCATATTTGCCTTTTTTTTACACAGATGGTAATATATATCTAATGGACTCTGCTTTTTTCACTTAAATAGCTTGGAAATCTCTCCATGTCAATACACAGAAAGAGACTTCATTGTGTTCTCAGAGTTGCATAGTTTTCTAGTGTACATAGGTGTCCTGGTATATTTAACCACTCCCCTGAGTCTAAAGCTATTACAGGTTTTCATTACTGTTACCAATAATGCTACAATGAGTGGAGATAGCTCCATTTCCTTAAATTATGGCACGGAAATTGCACCCAAGATAAAATATTTGGACGTTGGCATTGTGGGCAAGTTTTTCCAACTGTCCAAAGAATTTTAAATGTGTCACTGAATCTTCTTTGGAATACATGCTTAATAGGGAAATAGTTCACAGCAAACTGTATTCTTTGCTAGAACAAACTTAAATGTTTGAGAAAACTCAAATAATTGAAAATTATTTCTTTCAGCTTGGTGAACTCCTGAAAGATTGGCGACGTCTTAATGTTGCTATAACCAGAGCCAAACATAAACTGATTCTCCTGGGATGTGTGCCCTCACTGAACCGCTATCCTCCTTTGGGGAAGTTACTTGATCATCTAAACTCAGAAAAATTAATATCCTTTTTGTTTTGTATATGGTCACATCTGTGCTATTGTGAATATTTATGTATTTATATAAATTAAAACTCAATGTTTTGTGTTTTCCATGGGCACATTTCAAAGACCTGATTCTACAAAGGAAAAAGAAACTAATTCACAGAAAGTGTTTTTTTTTTTTTAAAAGATTTTATTTATTTGACAGAGAGACAGTGAGAGAGGGAACACAAGCAGGGAGAGTGGGAGAGGGAGAATCAGGCTTCCCGCTGAGCAGAGAGCCCGATGCGGGGCTCGATCCCAGAACCCTGGGATCATGACCTGAGCGGAAGGCAGAGGCTTAACAACTGAGCCACCCAGGCTCCCCTCACAGGAAGTAATTTTAAGCAAAAAGTGAAATAATGAAGGTGATGGAGAAGGATAGTTTGTGAAGTGAGAAAGGAGACAGGGTACATGTTTCCTAGAACACATCTAGGAAAAGTGGTTACCTCTTTTGGTTCTTCTTACCCTAATTTATAACCCCCCTTTTTAAAATCTAGGACAAAGCATTAAAATTTTAAAAAAAATTGAGAAAATTAAAAAATGGAGAATTATTCCTTGTCATAATTGTAGATTATGACTAAAATAAATCATCTTTAAAAAATTATATGAAGGTCTTAGGCTAAGATACATAAACCTTGTTTAAGTACATTATTATCTGTAGAATGCCATAAAAAATTTTTCAGCAGTCCTATAAACCAAATTATAAAATGTTAAATAGTGTCATAGATATTTTTGTGCAAATCCATTTTTTGTAAAGTATACTTTCCTTAATTTATTGTACATCATGGATCTTCCATCAGAGGAACACGAAAGTCTTTGTCATATATTGGGTGATTTTCAAAGAAGATAAAGCACTGTTTTCTTTGATTTCTCATACTGGCATATGAGATCCTCTCTAAATATTACCTGTTATTTGCAATTTGGATGTGCTATGAAAGCAGTGCCTGGTTAGATTGTGAAGATCACATTTTTTTTTTAAGATTTTATTTATTCATTTGAGACACAGAGATACAGAGACAGAGAGAGAGAGCATGAGTGGGGGGAGAGGCAGAGGGAGAGGGAGAAGCAGGCTCCCCGCTGAGCCAGGAGCCCGATGTTGGGCTCGATCCCAGAAAGCCGGGACCGTGACCCGAGCCGAAGGCAGACGCCCAACCATCTGAGCCACCCAGGCACCCCTGTGAAGATCACTTTTATCCCAAGGGTATGAAATGGTATAAATGTACTTTGTTGAGAGTTCCAGTTTTTTGTTTTATTTAATATTTTTTTGGTAGTCTTGTTAAAGTTCTATCACTGTGTAAAATTTAACACACTATTAATTTTTTCAGTTTTTCCAAAACTGAAAAGTCTTAAGTTTTTTAGGTACTATCAATGTGAAGTGTGACCTAGAAAGTTTGATAAATTTTTACCAGCTTTAGTAATAGATTAACTTTTGGATCTGAGAAACTTTAAGTCTAAAATTTCAATACTGATTTGATTTTGTAGATTTCTGTCATATTTTTTTTATTTAAGAGATTAGGTAAAGAAAATTCATTTGTTTTTTCACTTAAGCACAATCTTGTGATGATGAGAACACAAGTGTGATTCTTTTCTGTGTTTGGGTTTTTCTCCTGACTGTTGGATTTTGGTATAAGGTACATTTTCACTTTAAACCTAGGCTTTTAAATTATTACTTATAAATTAATTATTTCCAATTAATTTCTGATTCCCCTTTCTCACTTGTTATTTTTAGTATTCAATATTCTATAGATTTTGATATAAAAGAAAATAATTTTTTTTTAGTTTTTTAAAATTGATGACAAAAAGGTATGTATACCCCTATTTTTTTTTTAAAGATTTTATTTATTTATTTGACAGAGAGAGACAGCAAGAGAGAGAACACAAGTAGGGGGAGTGGGAGAGGGAGAAGCAGGCTTCCCACTGAGCAGGGAGCCCGATGTGGGGCTCGATCCCAGGACCTTGGGACCACGACCCAAGCCGAGGCAGATGCTTAATGACTGAGCCACCCAGGCGCCCCGGTATATCCCTGTTATCACCTATTGTTCATATGCCCCCTTCGTTTTGAGACACTACTCAGTTGTCTCAATTTTTTGAATAAAGATATTTTTGTAAATCAGAATTACCTCAAAGTGCTTAGTTAAGTATATAGTGACCAATTTTAACCTCAGTGTATCCATCTTTGGTTGGGGGGCAGATATCTCTTTCAAAGTTTTTTCTTTTTTTAAATGAATGTGAAATATGTTAAAATTGTTTCTACCTCATGTTTTTTAAAAATTACTTGCAGTTTTTTATTAAATAAATCATTTTCTATTATGCCTTAATGTGTCAGTTATTAATCTTTTTTTTTTCTTTTTTTAAAGACTTTATTTATTTGAGAGAGAGAGAGAATGAGAGAGAGAGAGCACATGAGAGGGGGGAGGGTCAAGGGAGAAGCAGACTCCCCGTCGAGCAGGGAGCCCGATGCGGGACTCGATCCAGGGACTCCAGGATCATGACCTGAGCTGAAGGCAGTCGCTTAACCAACTGAGCCACCCAGGCGCCCTGTCAGTTATTAATCTTGAATAATAATTAAGTTCAGGGTTGTCCAGCATTTTTTCAAGTAGTAAAAAGTCAAATGTTGATAATGTTCTAAAGCTGCATATACCCACACCAAGACCAACACCAGCTGATGGTACCCCAGAACTGATACCACGCTGAAGCAGAGGAGCTCTGCAGGGACCCAAGACTGATTAAATCCTTTTTTAAAAAGGGAGGTTTTTGGTTGTTTTTGTTTTGTTTTTTATAGGCCAGCAGATTTATTCTTTTTAAAATTTTGTTAAATTAAAATTTTTTTTTATTATGTTCACTTAGCCAACATATAGTACATCATTAGTTACAAAGGGAGGATTTTTTTAGCAAACTGTCATACTCCTCAGACACCCTCTATGTCTGACTGCTCAAAAAAGGCAGCCGCCGGGGGGCGCCTGGGTGGCTCAGTCGGTTAAGCAGTTCTGCCTTAGGCTTGGGTCATGATCCCTGGATCCCAGGATCAAGTCCTTCCTCCAGCTCCCTGCTCACTGGGGAGCCTCCTTCTCCCTCTCCCTCTGTCTGCCTCTCCCCGTTCGTGCGCTCGTCACTCTCCCTCTGTCAAATAAAATTTTCTCCATGTATCATTATCTCACAGTAAAGAAAATTAAAAAACCAAAAGAGGTAAAGAAACATAAAACTACTGGCTGAGGTGATGAAGAGAAAAAGAGCCGAAATATCTCGGTCTTTCTAGCTCAGCCACTGTCTTAACAATTGCTAATTAACTACATAATAGCTTACTTTTCCCCAAAGTGATATAGCTTAACCTAGTGTCATCTGACCACGAGGGTTTTTTTTCCTCCCTGAAATGAGAAAAGGCTAGCTTTATCTCTACACGTTTGTCCCTTGATAAGTGCGGCCCTTCCCACTGCCCGTGCATTTACTGGTTTAAATGCCGTGCTAGGGCTGCCTAGTTGCAGCAGGTGTCTGCCCCCTGTTAATTGCTTCAGGTTTTCTAAATTCCTTTGCTCCCCTAAGACCCTGTGGAGCGTGAAGGGAAGCGGTCAGGTGTATCAGATGAACCCCGCCGCCGCGTGGACGAAAACGTTTGCACGTGGCTCGCACCCCGTGGCAAGACAGCCCCAGCGCCCCGGCGAAGTCCCCGGGTGAGAGGTCGGTGGTCCGACCAGGGCCGGGCCTCCGGCTCCTCACACGCGAGGTCTCCTTCACGCTCCTCTTCCTTCTCCTTCCGGTCCAGCTGGACGCGAGGAGGCCTGGCGAGGGCGGGTTTCTCTCCTGCCGGTTGCAGGCCCCGCGGCCCCCCGCCCCACTCGCGGCGCCGCAGGACCGCCCGGGCGTCCTCCCGCCGCCGGGAGCGCTGTGGGCCGCGGCGGGCCTGGTGGCAGACGCCGTGGCGGCCGCCGCGCGCCTGAAGGAAGCTGCTGGCGGGGCCCAGGGCGTCTCCGCCCGAGACCGTGCCGCCGCCGCCATGGGTAAGGGGAGCGGACCGAGAGGGGACGCCTCGCTCTCCGTCCGAGGCTGAAGGCCGCGGCCGGGCGAGGACTGGTGGTGGGCACCGAGACCTCGGGTAGCAACTGGAGCCCGAACCCGTGCCTGGGGCTGGGCGGGGGCAGCGGGGGACTCGGGGGCGCCCGGGGTCGCCATGGCAACGCGCGGCCGCCCCCCGTTTCTTCAGGTTCCCGCCCCGGTTCTAGGGCCTAATGGCCGAGGGCTCGCGGTCCGACGGCTTCCAAGGGGCGAAGACAGCTCCGGCCGGGGGGCCGCTCCCGGTTCGGTGGAGCAGTCGGGGACGGGCGATGACTTTTCAGGTTTGGGGGTGGCGGAGGGAAGACGCGTCTCAGGTTTTGGCCTGGATGCCGGAAGCCGAGGGCGGGAGAGGTGCAGCGATGCCGCGCAGGACCCCGGGTGAGCCCTCCGCGGGGGTCCTTGGGCGCCCCGAGCCCTTTGGGCAGCCTTGCTGCGGGGAGGAAGGGAGGCAGAGAGGGGGCTCCAGGCCCGGGCGAAATGCGGGGACTGGCCCTTGGCCTTGTTGGGGCTGCGATCGGCACGACACATCTGCGAGCCCGGGCGGGGTGCGGCCGGCGTGTAAACGCTCCTGGGGCGAGGAAGCTGCCGGCCCCCAGCACGGACCCGCCTCGGAACAGCTGCAGATGCGCCCTTTGTCTGCTTGTCGCATCGCAAGTCACGGATCGTAATGGGCACTGTTAAGAAAAAGGATTGGTACAGATTATGAAACATCAAGTAGTTCCCCCCCGCCCCCGAAAAAAGAGGGAATCATACGACGATGCAGATTTGAAGGAATGATGTGTGTGCAGATTTTCCACCAGCTAGCTTGGTCATAGAGATTGTGGCTGTTTGCATTTTTAGTTGCTTAGGATTCCGTGTCAGGCTTCGCCCTTAGCTATCAGCTCAGAACTCGAATACTAGATAATTGGGAACCCTGGACTTATGTTCAGTGAAGGAAAAACACTTGGTTCACTTGGACTAGTACATTTGCCAGAGATTATGAAACGTTATACTAAGTGCTTCATTTTTCTGCACTTCATTTTGTCATCTGTTTGCTGAAACTATTCCTGCCAGTCACAGCAATGGTGAGAATATGCGGGAACATCTGAATTTCTAAGTTACCTAAGGATGGAATTTGTGGGAAAGAAAAAAATAGCTTTTTGTGATTTGAAAGTATCAATTACTAATCAGTTTTTTTTTTTTTAAGTGCATCTATTAACTTAGTTTTTGACTGAATCAGCTGTGTGGGCAAGGAACTTAAATGTGAAACAGGACTGCTTTTATTTCCTCTGGGAAAATGAAGGAGTTATGCAATACAGAATTACAGTTGCAGTGAGAAAAGATGGAAAGAGGGTTAAAATGAGTGAAAGAATTGAATGGCTTCTCCTGTATTCCTTTATTTGTCAGTGTGTTTTAACCCATCATGTTTATGGATGATACTGTAATCTTGGAATTGTAACCACCTTTTATTTCCAGTTTATTCTGAACGTTTTTTGCCTTGAGATTCAGCCTTGGACCGTGCCTGCTGTCCACCTTTTGTACGAGACTCTTAAATATGTTGTTTATTACTCCAATTTTATCTCCACAAAAAGTAAAAAACAAAAACAAAAAACCTCGTTCTCTTTGAAGACGTACCACAAAAGTAAAATAAATACCAGAAAATAACCAAGGTGCAAGATCTTGAGAATAATTCATAAACTTTGTCTGGGGTGGGCATGGTAGTGTTCTGTGGTATGTGTGAGAGAGACATAAAGAGAAGTTACGTAGGGGTGTGGATTAGTTAGGGAGACTAATTTGTCAACCAAGAAAAAACAAACCATTGTTTTTATAGGGGAATGAAAGGGTTTGTGTATTTTTTAATGTCATGTCTTGCAAATGATGTTGGACTCCTTTCTTGTGCTTTCAGCTACAAAAGACCCCACAGCTGTAGAGAGAGCAAACTTGTTAAACATGGCTAAATTGAGTATCAAAGGACTCATTGAATCTGCTCTAAGCTTTGGCCGCACTTTGGATTCTGATTATCCCCCCTTGCAGCAGTTCTTTGTTGTTATGGAACATTGTCTGAAACACGGTCTTAAAGGTATCCTGAGATTTTAAAAAACTAAGTTTAGAATTCCACTATTTCCATCTTAAACATCCTTGAAAATGTGTATTTGTTGAGACCATAATTGTTACTTTACCTTTAAAATTACTGGGTGGGTTGGTTTGGGGAGAGAATAGCCTACTGCTTTATGTTTTCTAATAAGTTGTCTTCAGAGAATGAATGCCTAGTTAGTGTTTTGTAAAAACATTTGATTTTTCATTTTTTCTCAATATACTCTGAACTGATTTCTATTTTCTAGGACAGTTAGAGTTATTTAAAAATTTTTAAGCTTAGTGATTCCAATATGAAGTCTTATTACTAGTTTGAGCCCTATTGAACAAATAAGTAAAACAATTGTTGAAATATAAACCTCGTTGGCCCCCTGGAATGTATCTAGAAAGACTGTCTTTTGGATTGGATTGTTGTAGAAATGTAAGCGCTCCCTGGGAATGATGATAATACTGTATATTTTCTTCTACACAGTTGGCACTGATTTATCATTTCATGTAAAATGTTTGTGTTAGATTTAGTTATTATACATTGTATAATTGTTTTTGGGTTTTTTTTTTTTTGAGATTTTTATTTTTTTGACAGACACAGCGAGAGAGGGAACACAGCAGGGGGAGTGGGAGAGGGAGAGAGAAGCAGGCTTCCCGCTGAGCAGGGAGCCCGATGTGGGGCTCTATCCCAGGACCCTGGGATCGTGACTTGAGCCGAAGGCAGACGGTTAACGACTGAGCCACCCAGGCGCCCCTATAATAACTGTTCTTTTACTTATTGTAAAAACAGTTGTTGTTAGTTTTGGTGTCTAGTTCTTTTGATCAGCTGTGTGGAGGGCTATGTAAGAGTTTATTTTATTTTTTTTAAAGATTTTATTTATTTGAGAGAGAAAGAGAGAGAGAGAGAGAGAGCCCAAGAGGGGTTAGGGTCAGAGGGAGAAGCAGACTCCCTGCTCAGCAGGGAGCCCGATGTGGGACTCGATCCTGGGACTCGATCCTGGGACTCCGGGATTATGACCTGAGCCGAAGGCAGTTGCTTAACCAACTGAGCCACCCAGGCGCCCCTCTGTAAGAGTTTATACTAAAGTGACTGTTCTAAAGCTAAAAGAAGCTTGGTTCCTTGTGGGTATACTAGGAACCTGGGTAAGTTGGGAAGGCCCAGAAGTTCTGACTAAGGTACATGAAAGTGGGAGTAAATGTAAACAGCACAAAAGGAGATTTACATAAACATGGTTTTAATAAAATGTACTTCAAATTTTAATAAAATGTACTGCCAAAGGAGCCTTGGCATCAAAATTTGAGAAACCCTGTGTGATGTTATTACTCATTTCTTTGTTTTTTTTTTTTTTCCACTAGTGTCAAATGATCCTTTATTGAGACATTTTCCTTTGTAGTTAACTAGCTGGGCATTCCACCGCACCACTGTTGATGTCATCTATGATGTCAGGAGGGTGGCGGCCATCTTTTTTTTTAAGTTGAAATTTTTTATTGAGATATAATTAACATTAGTTTCAGGTACACAACATAATGATTTGGCATTTTTATGTATTGCAAAATGATCACAGTAAGTCTAGTCGATAATCCATCACTGTACACAGTTAAAATTTTTTTTCTTATGAACTTTTAATATTTACTCTCCTAGCAACTTTCAGATATACAACAGTATTAACTGTAGTCCTCATGCTGTACATTACATCCTTATGACTTATTTATTTGATATCTGGAAGTTTATACCTTTTGACCACCTTTACCCATTTCCTCTTGCCCGCGCCCTCTGCCAGCCATCAGTCTGTTCTCTGTATTTGCATTTGGGTTTTGTTTTGTTTTATTTTATTTTATTTTTTAAAGATTTTATTTATTTATTTGACAGAGAGATACGTACGTAATGAGAGAGGGAACACAAGCAGTGGGAAAGGGAGAAGCAGGCTTCCCTCCAGGCAGGAAGCCCTATGTGGGGCTCGATCCTAGGACCCTGGGATCATGACCTGAGCTGAAGGCAGAGGCTAACTGAGCCACCCAGGAGCCCCTTGTTTTGTTTTTTTAGATTCCACTATTTAATTGAAGACAAAGTAATTTTTAAAAAATTATATAATGGTGAAATCTACTCTTTGTACATGAATCAAACAACATAGAAATACCTAGAGCAAAAACCATTTCCTTCATTCTCTTCCGTTCATTCCCCTAAAGGGAATCCTTGTCATTCTTCTCTTTTCCATTTTTTTTCTTTTAGTCTGCATAGAGTTATGCTATAAGTATTATTATTCTGTGACTTTGTTTAAAATTGATATGGTTTGGAGGTTTTTCCATTTCCATAGAGGCTTTATCACGTTTTTAATGACTCTGTAAAATGCATAGTATATGTATACCAAAACTTACTTAACTGCCCTCCTCTTAATGTACCCTTAGGTTGTTTCCAGTTTTTTACCATTAAAATTGTGCTGTTTGTATACTTGTTCTTTAGGATAGGGTTCTTAGGAGTAGAATTACTGGGTCAAAGGATATAAGCAACTGGACTCTATGAAGCCTTCATGGATTTATCAAACATCAGTGGATGTTAGTGTTTGTTTCCCCGCATTTTTGCCTGCTCTTGATATTACCAATTTCTGCTTCTTTCAGTACACCAGGAACTCACCAGTCTGATCTAATAGCCTTAAGGGTTTTTCTGGTTTTAGTTTTAGTTTTTTTTTTTTTTTAATTTTTAAAAACATTTAGGGGTGCCTGGGTGGCTCAGTCGTTAAATGTCTGCGTTCGGCTCTGGTCATGATCCCATGGTCCTGGGATCGAGCCCCGCGTCAGGCTCCCTGCTCTGCGGGAGGCCTGCTTCTCCCTCTCCCACTCCCCCTGCTTGTGTTCCCTCTCTAGCTGTGTCTCTGTCAAATAAATTAAAAAAAGAAACCACACATTTAAACATTTTTTAAAATTTTAATAACACCTTGAGTTTTATTTTTATTTATTTATTTAAAGATTTTATTTATTAGAGAGTGAGAGCATGAGAGGGGAGAGGGTCAGAGGGAGAAGCAGACTCCCCACCGAGCGGGGAGCCCAATGTGGGACTCGATCCCGGGACTCCAGGATCATGACCTGAGCTGAAGGCAGTCGCCCAACCAACTGAGCCACCCAGGCGCCCCAATAACACCTTGAGTTTTAGTTTGCTTTTTGAAAAACTTGTTATCTTTGTTTTCCCTTAGGCTGCAGAAATGGAGTTTGCTAAATGATGGCCAAACAGTTAAATTTTAAGCTCTTCCCTGAGTTTAAAATTCCTTTGCTTGACAAAATATCATAAAGCATGTCCTAACAGCCATATCATAGGCTTGTCTTGATGAATCATTGTGAAGCTACTTTGTACTGATTGATTTTTTTTTCCCCCCAAGGAAAAATTGCCTATGGTGGTGATTGTCCTTGGGTGGTGCTTATGATAGCGCCCTTGATCTGCAGGAGATCTGGTCAGTATTAAGAAAGAAATGTATAGTGATTTCATGGTTTTATATCACCTGATTCTCAGTATAAAGTAAGTCACAATTTTTCATGTTAAGAGTAAAATAACTTTTTATTTATCCTTGGTTTATTTAATAAACTGATAAAGATCAACCTGCCAGGGCTGCCAGCCTTTTTATTTTGGTACTGGTAAAGAATAAGGCCCGTTTTTTTTTTTTTTTTACTTTAATTACCTGCCTGCATATTTCTGATAAGGAAGAATGGCCAAGCTGCATATTTTCTTTTTTTGTTGTTGTTGCATATTTCTGATAAGGAAAAATATTAGGATCCTGATGAACAGGTTCCTGATCCATAGGACTGTGTAGTGGCAAGAGCGGAAGGTCTTTGAATAACTGTATTTTAAGTTAGAAATGTTGAAAATAAAAGGAAGTTATGACAATTTTATATGTTGAAGTTGTATGCATTATATATACTTTTTTTTTCTCAGTAAGAAAATCATTTTTGAGTTATAACAAAACTATCTGGGGCCCCTTGGAACTGGTGGAAAAGCTGTACCCAGAAGCAGAGGAAATAGGAGCCAGTGTCCGGGATTTACCTGGTCTTAAGTAAGTAAGCTTATTGTTCATTTCTAACCGCAGAGATATATTTATTGTTCTTGAAAGTACTTCACACTCTATTATCTTCTCTCAGCCTTAAGTAGCCTTCTTCCATTCTCTCCTAATAAAATTCTGTTCTTTATAGCTCAGTTCAAATTTCATTTCCTTTATGAAATTTCTCTTAGTCCCTTCAGTAGGAATTAACTGCTTTTTCTTCTATACCCTATCACTATATTCACTCCTTAATTATATCACTTTGATTCTACATTGTATTGCAGGAAACAGCAGGTCCCTTTAAGATAGAATGTATCAATTATGCATTTGTTTCCTGAATGTTAAGCTGGTTTTGCGGTAGTAAGCTATTTGGCAGCCAATAACTATTTGTTGAAGACTAGTTTATTTTTATTTACTTTTTAAAAGATTTTATTTATTTGACAGAGAGAGACATAGCGAGAGAGGGAACACAAGCATGGGGAGTGGGGAAGGGAGAAGCAGGCTTCCCACTGAGCAGGGAGCCTGATGCGGGGCTCGATCCCAGGAGCCTGGGATCATGACCTGAGCCGAAGGCAGACACCCAAAGACTGAGCCACCCAGGCGCCCCTGAAGACTGATTTAGACTAAATCCAGGGCAAAGGCTCAGGAGATTAGAATTCTCAGATAAGCCATTTATATATATGGGGCTTGTGCAAATTACTTTTCTTTCTCTAAAAATTGGGACCTATAGTGTCACCTGCCCATTTCACTGGACAAATATATATAAAATGTAAAAACTGAATAAAGGCATAAAGGTGTTGTTAAGGTTAAGTTCTTATGCTTTCCTTTAGTTTATCTTAATTCTTGTGAATGAGATAACCTTTTTTTCTTAGCATTTTCTGTCAGATTACCAGTTTGCTTTCTCTTAGCTTTATAATTGAGGGTTTTACAGTTTTTTTTTAAGATTTTTTATTTTTGCGAGAGAGAGAGAGAGAGAGAGAGAGAGCGAGCTCGTGAGAGAGAGCGGGAGAGAGCGCCAGCACGCAGGAGCAGGGGGAGGGGCAGAGGGAGAAGCAGACTCCCGCTGAGCAGGGAGTCTGATGTGGTACTGGATCCCAGGATCCTGGGATCCTGACTTGAGCTGAAGGGAGAGGCTTAACTGAGCCACCCAGGCACCTGAGGGTTTTACATGTTGTAGGGAATATGGTAGTGTTTTCTTTTTTTTTTTTTTTAAAGATTTTATTTTTTATTTATTTGACAGAGAGATAGAGAGCACAAGTAAGCAGAGAGGCAGGCAGAGGGAGAGGGAGAAGCAGGCTCTCTGCGGAGCAGGGAGCCCGACTTGGGGCTCGATCCCAGGACCCCAGGATCATGACCTGAGCTGAAGGCAGCTGCTTAACTTAACCAACTGAGCCACCCAGGCACCCTTATGGTAAATGTTTTCTGGCTGTTAACACAACATCCAAATATTTCCAGGTTGTATTTAATTGAATGATAAAAGTAAATGGCTAGTATTTGTTAAGCACTGTCTCAGGGTAATAAAATAATTGGTTTACATGAATTATCTCATTTAGTCCTTACATCAGTCTTACAGGGTAGAGATTATTATAATAATTGCATAGATGTGAAAAATAAAGGTCAGAGGAGTTAACAGTTAAAAAGTGGCAGAGCCAGGATTCAAACCCAGTTTTTAAATTTTATTTTATTTTTGTAAGTAATCTCTCTGCCCAATGTGGGGCTTAAACTCATGACGCTGAGATCAAGAATTACATGCTTGACTGAGTGAGCCAACCAGATGTCCCTCAAACCTAGTTTTTAGTGTGAAATAGCAAGTCATGTTCACAGTTGATGTTTCTTATAATGGTATATTAGGTGTAGTGATCTTTAGCAAAGACAGAAGAAAAAGGGAATTATAACTCTCAAAAAGAGAAATATAAGAAGGGGCACCTGGCTGGCTCAGTTGGTAGAGCATGTGACTCTTTATCTCTCAATTGTGAGTTCAAGCCCCACGTTGAGTATAGAGATTACTTTAAAAATAAAATCTTAAAGGGGCGCCTGGGTGGCTCAGTCAGTTGAGCATCTATCTGCCTTCGGCTCAGGTCATGATCCCAGCGTCCTGGGATCGAGCCCCGCATTGGGCTCCCTGCCTGGCGGGAAGCCTGCTTCTCCCTCTCCCACTCCCCCTACTTGTGTTCCCTCCCTCTCTGTCAAATAAATAAGTAAAATCTTAAATCTTTAAAAAAGAGAAATATAAGATTTGGTCATTTTAATATGAAAATATATGTTCAAATTGTTTTTAAAAAGCCTAACTCTTCAAAAGTAAAAAATGTTTTCTGAACGATGGTATTCATTCAACTGCTAAACCGTAAGAAGCTCATTAGCTGTTAGTAGTGAAGATTAACTTACCTCCTACACTACATGCCAAAACATTCTTTGTATAAGAAAACATAAAAGTGTGAATGATAATCTTTCTCTTTGAAAAACCATACATATTCTGTAAAAGTTGCTTTTACTTTTACTAAATGATAAAATTTAGATAAGAGGTAGGAGATTGAATTTTTTAAGGACAACCCCCTAGAGAAACATTTGAAATAACAAGCAACCTGGTGATTTCTCTCTTTTTGATTACCAGCTTAGTGCCCTCCTAGCTTTGTTAGGATTTTTTTTTTTTTTTTAGTTTGTTAGGATTTTTAAAATTCAGATATCATGTCAGTTACTTTTTGAAGGCATTATATTGCTTTATTTGATGCATTTTGCATATCCATTTTTTTAATAGGTTTTTTTTTTTTTAAGATTTTATTTATTTGACAGAGACACAGAGAGGGAACACAAGCAGGGGGAGTGGGAGAGGGAGAAGCAGGCCTCCTGCCAAGCAGGGAGCCCGATGTGGGGCTCGATCCCAGGACCCTGGGACCATGACCCGAGCTGAAGGCAGACGCTTTAACGACTGAGCCACCCAGGCGCCCCTTGCATATCAATTTTTAAGACTGATGAATCACAGACTTGTACCTTTGAAACAAATAATACATTTTATGTTAAAAAAAAAAAGTAGGAAGGGAAAAATGAAGGGGGGGAAATCGGAGGGGGAGATGAACCATGAGAGACTATGGACTCTGAGGAACAAACTGAGGGTTCTAGTGGGGAGGGAGGTGGGGGGATGGATTAGCCTGGTGATGGGTATTAAAGAGGGCACATATTGAATGGAGCACTGGGTGTTATACTCAAACAATGAATCATGGAACAACACATCAAAAACTAATGATATAATGAATGGTGATTATTATAACAATAAAATAAAATTAAAAAGTTTTTTAAAAATCTTAAGAAAAAAGTAACCTCTACACCCAGTGTGGGTCTTGAACTCACAATCTGCAGATTAAAAATCACATGCTCTACTGACTAAGCCAGCCAGGTACACCTTACGTATTCATCTTTAGACAGTTAAGCCCATTCTGTCAAAATATTTCTTGTAGAGATAATCCTCAGTATTTAGAGCGTCATTTCTTCCAAGGCATAAAAGATACCTAGATGTCCTGTAGGTGCAGGTTTACCTTAGATACTTAAATAGCTCCCAGGGATTGGTTTGCATGCTCAATGAGCTGGCTTAAAAAACTGTAGAAACAAAAAAAACAAACCACCTGTAGAAACAGACAAAACCATGATAAATTGCAGTTTTCCTTTATTAATATGAACCTTGACAGAGATAGAATATGTAGTCTCATAATATATGGACTGAGACTGTCTTCTGACCAGTTGGTTTTGCTTTTTAGGACCCCCCTGGGTCGTGCAAGAGCATGGCTTCGATTAGCCCTCATGCAAAAAAAAATGGCTGATTACCTGCGTTGCTTAATTATTCAGAGGGATCTCTTAAGGTTAGTACCATTAAGTCATGTTCATTTCCATTTTTAAAATTTCATTTACATCCTGTTTTCCAAAAAGAATTAAAGATGTACAAAAGGATATATAAAATACAGTAAGATGGCATTAAAAAAAAAGAGCAACATGAGAGAGAAAATCACGTAGGGACATAACATGGATCAGGAGCTAGCCTAAAAACTGAATACCATAACCTTTGTATTGACCAATAAGAGGAAAATTTATTTATATGTTATATTTCTAAGCTAGTTTTATTTTTTTTTCTAAATTACAGTTAATTCTACAAATAAAAATCTGTATTGGAATTGGGAGCTTTAATCTGACAAGTTTCTTTTTATTTTATTTTTTTGAGAGAGGAACATGGTGGGTGGTGCAGAGTCAGAGGGAGAGAGAACCCCAAGCAGACTCCCCCAGGGCGGAGCCCACATGGGGCTCAGTCTTACAACCCTGAGATCAAAGTCAAAATCAACAGTCCGACGCTTAACCAACTGAGCCACACAGGCGCCCAATAGGTTTTAGATCCTGAGTGTCTAAGCTGTTGCTTTGTCCGTATTGTGGGCACTTTTTAAACTGTCAACTGAAGGCCAGTGAGTGCTGGCAATTAAGTGGTATAATGAAGATGACTGGAAAACATTAACTTGTTGTTAATTGACATCGTGCTGAGGTTGGTGGGAAGTCGAGCTTATAAATAGCCTGGTCTATGCACTGACTTTGAAATCTGCTCAATTTCAGGGATACATCTTATCATTTGGACCATTCATTGTTTACCTTTGAAGCTTTTTATTTAACAGGGAACAGATTCATCCTTTTAAAAAATGTAATAGTGAACATAGCTGTGATAACACCCCCATTGAAACTTTTGTTTTCTGTATTAACTTCTTGAATAAATTGCCTTCATGTAGTAAATATTTAAATAAGTAAATAATAGAAGGCCAGATGTTTAAGACAGACTTTCAGAGTACGGTAATCAGTTGTTAGAGGGGGTGGCCCATAGCAGTCCCTCTGTTTGCCCTTATTCTCTTGGAGTGCCTGTCTGATGTTCTGGAGAATCTGGTCATTTTTGGTAGTACTTATGACTCTGGTCGTACATCTTGGTTTTCGCATTTGTTAAATGAGAATGACCATACTTTAAGCACAGCAATTTCTCAATAATATTGTGAAGGTCAATTAAAGTTATTAAATAGTACATGGGACTTCTTGAGGAAGGCATGAGACAGTGATAATTAGTCCTATGAATACATAATTGTCAAGTCTTAGTTTTTAGACTGTCCTGTTTCTTTCACAAATCTGTTTGAACGTTTTTTAGAATATAGATGTCCTACCATCCTTAATTGATTATTAAGAACACTTGCAATATACATATCAAATACACTGATTTGAACATGGGCTTTGGAAATGTTTCATATGTTCATTCCCTACCTCAGTCTGCATCCCAAGATTCTTAATAAATCCTAGAATTAAAAAGTCAACTCTAATAAAAAGTATTGTAATCAAATCAGTCTTCTGAGAGTCCCAGACATTCCAGGCCTCAGTGATGCCTCTTTTTCTTTTGATCTATATCTCTTTGCTTCTCTTTTCTTTCTCTCAAAATTCCTTTTCCTCTTTAATCTCTTTCAGTCCCATTCTTTTACTTTGTTTACATGAACATTAACATTTCAAAATGTTTTAAGTTATTCACACATAGAAAGGCTAATTTGAAGAGACCAAATTTGTGTGGGCTCCATGTTTATGTTATGGGGCTGAGATTTTAAAATTTAGTGTTTGAAGTAAATTTGTGTTCTAAGGTTTTTATTTTAATTTCCACAGTGAATTTTATGAGTATCATGCACTAATGATGGAAGAAGAAGGAGCAGTAATTGTTGGGCTCCTGGTTGGCCTGAATGTGATAGATGCTAACCTGTGTGTAAAGGGAGAAGATTTAGACTCACAAGTAAGTGAAGGTGACTCATACCAAATGCAGTGTTTTTAGTTTGTGCTGTTCTCTTGGATCCAGCTGTAAACAGTACTGTTAAACACTAAAGAAAAATTAAGAATGAAATTCAGTTGCATGTTAACTGTACTTCTAATATTTCTCCCCTTTAACTAAAAATAACATGATTTACTTTAGGTTGGAGTGATTGATTTTTCCATGTATTTAAAGAATGAAGAAGATATTGAAAATGAAAGGTATGATTTTCATAAGTTCTTTCACATGTATTTTTATGTAGCTCTTTACAAATCACCATGAGGTCCATCTATTCATAATGTAGCTTTGTTTTTTGTTTTTTTTTGACAATGTAGTTTTTATTTCCTTATTTTGTGTGTAGTTCCTGCTTTGTTTTATTTAGCTTCCATATACAAGTTTTACAAAGCAAAAATCACATAGAAGGAGGTGGCATTAGTCGGAAGTATGGCTTTTGGTCACTTGTAGTTCCTGAGACCCATTTTAATTGCTGTTTTTTTTGCGGTAAAAGAGATGAAAGCTTATTATTCACAAGTTTACAAATGCTAGTTTATTCCAAGATCTGTGTTTAAATTTAAAATATACTTATTCCAAATAAGAGAAAGGATAATTATGTAGCATAATAGAGGTGCTAATTATTGCTACAGTGGCAATCATATCACAAATGTATCACATTAACATGTACACCTTAAATTTATAGTTATATGTCAAATGTATTTTATTTTTTTAAAGATTTTATTTATTTGACAGAGACAGCGAGAGAGGGAACACAAGCAAGGGGAGTGGGAGAAGGAGAAGCAGGCTTCCCGCCCAGTAGGGAGCCCGATGTGGGGCTCGATCCCAGGACCCTGGGATCATGACCTGAGCCGAAGGCAAACACTTAATGACTGAGCCACCCAGGCGCCCCTGTCAAATGTATTTTAATTAAAAAACATACTGATACAAGGAGTTCTTAAATATACTTTTTAATGGTATTATTAAATAGATTACTTGCTAATACTAGACTTAACAAAGGTTATAATTAGTACACAGCCTACTGCTACATTATTATAAAGATTCTTGAATTTTATTTAAAGGCAAGGTAGTGTTTTTTGCCATTATGGTTTTACAACACTTTTAGGTGACATAGACATTTTTTTGATCCTTCAGTAAATACCTTTCCAACTGACACAAAGCTTCTTTCCCCCCTCTTTAGGGATGTTCAAATTGCTGCCATATTAGACCAGAAGAATTACGTTGAAGAATTAAATAGACAACTGAAGTAAGTATTATGGATACTTGGATATTTGTGACTATTGTCGTAGAGGTTTTCTTCACCCTTTTCAGGTCCACTTTACGCTATTCCTTCCTACTAAACATCTTTGAGAAAGGGTTGAGGGAGTAGAGAATAGAAATTAAGAATACAGAGAATTATGGGAGCTAATTCATTTTCAAAAAATGAGTCAGATTTTCTTTTTATTTTAAGATTTTATTTATTTATTTGAGAGAGAGATTAGAGCACAAGCAGGGGGAACAGCAGAAGGAAAAGGAGAAGCAGACTCCCTGCTGAGCAGAGAGCCTGACACGGGGCTCAATCCCAGGACCCTGGGATCATAAGCTGGGCCGAAGGCAGACGCTTAACTGACTGAGCCACCCAGGCTTCCCAAGAGTCAGATTTTCAGAGAGAACATTTGGAGAATTTAAAAATAGAATTCCTGGGGAGGGGTCAAAGAAATAAAGACAGAATTTCAAACTTATCCCTGTATCCTTGAGAAGAAAAGGTTAGATAGGGTGGAAGTTTATATCATTTTTATGGTTCACAAATTCATTTTTCCTACTTTCAAAGAGTTTCATGTGTAAATGTGGCTGTTGCCTCCCATGGTGGGAGTTTTTCCTTATATTTTATTTCCTTATATATGTCACCTGGGCACTGAAGCTGTCAGTGAATACTTGGAAGAATTTCTGAGATCAATATGTAAAATAGTATAGTGTAGTTCTAATAGAAATAAAATGTGAGTCATATAGATAATTTAAAATTTTTAGTAACCACATTAAAAAGGTAAAAAACATGAAATTAATTTAAAAATATATTTTGTTCAACTCAGTATACCCAAAATATTATTTCAACATGTAATCAATATAACAATTATTCCTGAGGTATTTTATATTCTTTCTTTGTATTGTCTTCACAAGCCAATGTGTATTTTACAGTTATAGTACATTTTATTTTTATTTTTTTTAAAGATTTTTTTTTTTAAAGATTTTATTTATTTATTTGAGAGAGAGAGAATGAGAGATAGCACGAGAGGGAAGAGGGTCAGAGGGAGAAGCTGACTCCCTGCTGAGCAGGGAGCCCGATGTGGGACTCGATCCTGGGACTCCAGGATCATGACCTGAGCTGAAGGCAGTCGCTTAACCAACTGAGCCACCCAGGCGCCCAGTTATAGTACATTTTAGTTTGGACTAGATAGCACAGGTAAAGTGAATAGTATTTGCTACATAGTTAGGAATGGACTGTTCCTATTAATTAAAATGAATTAGCAAAAATGACTCTCTGGGTGATGAAATTATGGATAATTTCTATTTTATTCTTTATACTTTTCTGATTTTCTAAGTTTCGTTCAATAGAAAATAAAATTAAACATTTTCCCATTTTAGAAAAATAAGCTGTAACTCTTGCTTTCTCTGAAGTTAGGAAATATCTTGTATCATTGTCTTTTTTTTTAATCACAGAGTTTTAATAAAAGATGTCCTAGGAAGTATATGTGTATGTATGTGTGTTTTCTAATTTGTAATTCTGAGATTATATTTCTAAATGCAACTTGTATTGCTTATTTACTTACTGTTAAAGCTTTATTCACTTTTGGCAACAGGTAATATATTCACATAGTTTGGGGCGCCTGGTTGGCTCAGTTGGTTGAGCGACTGCCTTCAGCTGAGGTCACAATCCTAGGGTCCTAGGATTGAGCCCTGCATCCCCTGCATCTGGCTCCCTGCTCGGCGGGGAGTCTGTTTCTTCCTCTCCCTCTGCCCTGCTCGTGCTTGCTGTCTCTCAAATAAATAAATCTTTAAAAAATATATATATATACTCACATAGTTTAAACTTCAAAAGGAACATGAACAAAAAGCCTCCCTCTTCCTTGATATCCAATCACCTGGTTTCCCTCTTTGGGACTAATTAATAGGTTCTCGTGTATGCCTCCAGAGGTACTTTATACAAGCAGACAAGAATATGCATATATTTTCTTAAAGTTCCCTTCCCCTCAGTTTTTTTACACATAAAGTAGCATAATTTTTACACTATTCTGTAGTTCACTGTTTTTACCCAACTTTATCTTAGAGTCTGTTCCATTTGGTTCAAGGAGTTTTCTCATTCTCTTTTAAATTATGTGTTTTAAATCATTTATAGCAGTACTAGTGCCTTACTTTTGTACATTTTACGGATTTAAAAATGTTTCATTGTTTTTCCAGTTAGAATGTTTTTGTATATTTAGAGTATTTAAAAAAATATAGAAAACAGATAAAAAAAATAGAACTCACATATTATCCCTCATTCAAAGAAAACTATTGAGGGTTTATTTTCAAAAGTGCTTTTTCAATTAATATTTTACTGATTCTTACATAAAGGTAGGACAGATATTATTATCTGATTTATAGATAAGGAAACTAGAGCTCAGAAAGGTTTTACAGCTTTCAAGGTGACACAAAGTAGAAAAGCGGGGACTCTAACTTTGGTCCTGTGTCTCTTAGTCCCACACCTGTTAAGGTCTCACCATCCGGATACCCTGTTGCTCTTTGTGAAAAACTCAGGTTGTTTCCCTAAGAATGATAATATTTAAAAATGATTTAACATGAATGAAAAAAGATTTGTTTCACCAGTTAAACTAAAATGCCAATATTTATTTCTGAGGCTGGTATAAAATTTGTTTAAATCTATTATAGGTTTTATTGTGATGTAAACAGCATATTATGTTATTAAAGCTTGAGGTGGTAGAAACAAAGCCTTGAAAAACTAAATAAAATGTACAATAATGTCCAGTCTCGTAGATGCCAAGTGAAGTGTGTGCATTTTTTTTTAAATGTTTTATTTATTTATTCATGAGAGTCAGCGAGAGAGAGAGAGAGAGAAGCAGAGGGAGAAGCAGGCTCACCACAGAGCAGGGAGCCCGATGCGGGACCCGATCCCAGGACCCCGGGACCATGACCCGAGCCGAAGGCAGACGCTCAACCATCTGAGCCACCCAGGCGCCCTGTGTGCACTTTTGATAACTGTACTTCTGGTGACTGTACCGTTTGAAATACGGTTTTTTATCAAGATTCATAAAAATGCAGAAAAAAATGTACAGTAATGTCCAATCTTGATCAGTTTAAACAAAAATACAAAAAAACCAAGTTCATTCGGCTTAACCTGACTTTTAGCTATATCCTTGAAAGTCAGGGTATTTGCTGCTGGTTGTCCAGGTACCTGATGTGAATTTCATATTCACATTTCCCAAACTACAGGTGACTTTAGAGGTCTTTAAGTGATTATGAAAGTGGAGAGTGGAAACAGAATGGGCTAGTGTTGAAGACTGGTGTAAATGCTTATTAAGCCACTTAATTATAAAGTGGATATTTAAAGTTCATCCTTTAAAAGATAATTTTAAATTTAATTTTAATAATACTTGGTAGTCTTTGTGTGGAATCCATTCCTAAGTATTAAAATTTAAATGTAAGACTCTAAGAAGACAACAAAAAATAATGAGCAGCATCAAGTGGAATTTTAATAGAAATGAGCTTTTTGCTCAGTCTTTATTGCTGTCCTAGCCAAATCTGGTTATCCAACTTAATGAAATTTCCCACACTCAAAAATTCAGGATAGTCGGTGCATGTTAGTTAACATGGTAAGTCCAAGATAACATACCTTTTCTCACTTTTGTGAATTTGTGTGATTTGAATGAGTTTTTTCTTTATTAATTTCAGCAGCACAGTCAGCAGTCTCCATTCAAGAGTTGACTCTTTAGAAAAGTCAAATACTAAGCTGATTGAAGAGGTATTGTAACCCAGCCATGGATAATTGTCTTACACGGACTGAGTATTTGTGATCCTTTTCCATTTTAAGTTGAATACACTAAGTGTGCATGTGCATGGGTGCACATTTTCATCCTTATGATGGAATATTTGCAATATAGTTATAATTGATGATTGTAAGTTCTAGAGAAACCACATTTTCTCAGGTAAATTCTCTGGTAAATCTGTGAGTTGTTTGAGATACTCCTAGAAATGAGCCCCAAAGATAACACTCATACAAGCTCTTCTATAAATAAGCTGCGATTCTCTTTTTAAAATCTGGATGACCTCTATTTAGATAGTGAATCACCTATAGGTAGAAATTCCCATTAAAATGATACTGTTTGTCTTGTTCCACTATTCAGATTACTTTTCTTTACAAGCACCGCTACCTGCTTGTGGCCACCCTTTCTCCACCCAGCCAGGTATAAACCTCATCCCGTGTGCTCTGGTTTCCGGCGTTGTCAGAGCGCCTATCTGGTGGTCCCAGACAGGAAGTTTATCTCTGCTCTCTTTTTAATACTGTTTGTAAAGTTGCTTTAGATAAGTTTTTTTATCAAACCACAGAGTTACTGCTTTCTATTTTCAGAATTATTTAGGCTGGAGGAAGAAATCTGTCACGAGTGCTCTGAACCCTACTTTCTGTGTTAATTAAAATTCTTAATTCTTTTAGAACTGGCCTAATTTTTCCAAACCAGGGAGCACATGATTATTTGCATGACTGCAAATGTATCTTTATTTTGATAGTTTGGGCCACTTCATAGTGTTCTGGTTTTTTTTTTTTAATCATGGTAAGTGTACTCTTTAATCCCCATCACCTATTTCATCCATCCTGCCACCCATCTCCCCTCTGGTAACCATCAGTTTATTCTCTATAGTTAAGAGTCTGTTTCCTGGTTTCTCTCTCTTTTTTTTGATTTTGCTCATTTGTTTCTTAAATTCCACACATGAGTGAGATCATACAGTATTTGTCTTTCTCTGACTGACATTTTGCCTAGCATTAAACTCTGTAGCTCTATCCATGTTGTTGCAAATGGCAAGATTTCATTCTTATTCATGGCTGAATAACATTCCATCCACACACTACATCTTCTTTATCCATTCATCTATCAGTGGACACTTGGGCCACTTCCATAGTTTGGCTATTGTAAATAATGCTGCAGTAAACAGGGATGCATGTATCTCTTTGAATTAGTGTTTTTGTATTCTGGGGGTAATACCCAGTAGTGCAATTACTGGATTGTAGGGTAGTTCTGTTTTTAATTTTTTGAGGAAACTCTATACTGTTTTCCACAGTGACTGCACCAGTTTCTATTTCCACCAGTAGTGCACCAAGGGTTCCTTTTTTCCCCCACATCCTCGCCAACACCTGTTGTTTCTTGTGTTTTTGATTTTAGCCATTCTGACAGGGGGCCTTTCATTGTAGTTTTAACTTGCATTTCTCTAATGATGAGTGATGTTGAGCATCTTGTCATGTGTCTGTTGGCCATTGGGACCATTTGGTAGTTTGATAGATTGGGACCATTAGAGCTGCTCTCTAGTTTGTGCTGCTTCTTGGCCTTAGGCACACTGTGAAGTTCAAGTTATATCCCTGATGAAGTGTTCGGAAATTTATTTATAAGCCAACATTGGGGATGGTCCCTGCTTTCCTTTCCTGGAATCCGTCTTTTCATTGTAGGCCTCAGAACCAAGCCACTTAGTTTAACTCTGATGGTGAAAAATGTCTCATATTTGTGATGGTCACTCAGTGTTCTCTATTTCAGAGGGTGTCCTTTTTGGTTATCATGAAGGTCTGTATCACATTTTCAATGATAGCATAGCCTTCTTATAGATCTTTTATCTTTACACAGGTCTTTACAGTCTTATTGTTTCATGACACTTTGTATTCAGAACATTCTTAGGTATACATGATATGTTTTAACAATATATTTTGACTAATGAAATACTAGAAATGAGAGTTCAATTTTTTTATTGGTATCTTAGATAATAGCACATTTTTCTTATGAAAGCTTCTGTAGATGTGAGACATTTGACTAGTTTTAAGCTTTTATATTCTATTGTTTATAGTGATGATCATAACCAGTAAAGCAAGTATAAGTAAAGGTGTTTAAAATCTTTTTCTTGTCCCTGTTTCATAATTTTTAGTTAGCAATAGCAAAAAATAATATCATTAAACTCCAAGAAGAAAATCATCAATTACGAAGTGAAAATAAATTGATTTTAATGAAAACACAGCAGCACCTGGAGGTAAGTATGGACTGTTTGCAAACACACTGTCTTGTGTCAGAAATTGCCACTTTTGGGGACTTTTGCGTAGACTGGATATTTATTTCTGTGCTGTATTGATAGCAGTGATTACACAGTAAAAAGCTTGATGTTTTCTTCTTAGGTTACCAAAGTGGATGTGGAAACTGAGCTTCAAACATATAAGCATTCTCGGCAGGGGCTGGATGAAATGTACAATGAAGCCAGAAGGCAGCTTCGAGATGAATCTCAGTTAAGACAGGTAGTTTGCATTAGCAAAAATAATAATCATAATAATAATTTACCCGTAAGCATCACTTAAAATCTCTTTTTTAGCCTTATCTTCCTTGCTGTGGGATAGAAATCTCACCCCCTTATAACCCCTTCAAATTCTTTTTTTATCAAGTGTTTTTTTAAGTGTTTTTATACTGTGTTATAATCTGAAATGAATGGATTGTGACCAGCATTAAAGAAAAACAAAATAGAATAGAATGATGGATTCAAATAGGACTAAAATGATATTTAAAAAATTTTTTAAAGATTTCTTTTAGAGAGAGTGAAAGCATGAGGGATTACAGAGGAAGAGAGAGAAGCAGACTCTCCATTGAGCGGAGAGCCTGACAAGGGGCTCGATCTCAGGACCCTGAGATCATGATCTGAGCTGAAGACAGATGCTCAACTGACTGAGCCCCCCAGGTGCTCCAAATCATATTTAAAAATAACTTATTTTGGGGGTGCCTGGCTGGCTCAGTTGGTAGAGTATGCAACTCTTGATCTTGGGGTCATGATTTCCAACCCTGTGTTGGGCATAGAAGTTACTTTAAAAAAAATTAACGGGGCACCTGGGTGACTCAGTCAGTTGAGCATCAGACTCTTGATTTCATCTCAGGTCATAATCTTAGGGTGGTGGGATGGAGCCCTGCGTTGGGCTTTGCACTCAGTGCAGAGTCTGCTTGGGACTCGCTCTCTCTCCCTGACCCCTCCCCTGGCTCATGCTCTCTCGCACGCTCGCTCGCTCTCTCTGAAATAAATAAATCTTAAAAAAATTAACTGATTTTTTTATCCTTAAGTTGATACAATACCTACAGAAAAATACAAATGTACAGCTTAATGGATTATAACATAAATACCTGTATAATCACCACCCAGGTCAAGAAGAGACTATTGCTAGCCTTTCCATGCCTTTTGCTATTTGTCTTTAATATTAGGAAACTTCTTTGTTGTGAGAATTTTTTTAAATTTAATTTTAATTCTATTTAAATTCATTAAACCTATAGCTTATTATAAGTTTCAGAGGTAGAGTTCAGTGATTCTTCAGTTGTATATAACATCCATGTGCACCCATATACAACACCAGTTGTTTATAACACCCAGTTGTATATTCCATCATGTGCCCTCCATGTACCACATCCCCCCACCCCAGTGTAAAATTCTGTAAGAGAAGAAATTGAAACTGTGAAGTGGGGTTTTTGAGTTATCTTTGGCCTTCACTTATATATATTACTTTATTTCTGTGTGTGTGTGTGTGTGTGTGTGTGTGTGTGTTTTCAAGTTTTATTTATTTAAGAAATCTCTACACCCAGTGTCGGGGCTGGATCTCATGACCCCAAGATCAAGAGTTGCATGTTCTTCCAACTGAGCCAGCAAGGCACCCCCAGACTACTTTATTTCTTTGATTAAGGAAAATTAATACTGAGTTTATGAGGCATAAAAATACTTAATTTTTGAAGCAGAATAGTGATAATTAACAATATCTAGAAAATGCTTTCATTTTCACAAAATACACAGTTGAAAATATTTAGAATGTTATGTTATAGGACCTGGTTGATTCCCTTTATGGGGCTTAAACCTCAAAAGAGTAGTTTATGTATTTTTTTATTTTTTTAAATTATTTTTTAAGTAGGTTCATAGCAAAATTGAGTGGAACGTATTTTTTTTTCTTTTTTTTTTTTTAAAGAGTGATCTACAGGGACTTCTGGGTGGCTTGTCAGTTAAGCATCTGCCTTCGGCTCGGGTCATGATCCCAGGATCCTGGGATTGAGCCCCACATCTGGCTCCTTGCTCAGGAGGGAGCCTGCTTCTCGCTCTGCCTGTTGCTGCCCCTGCTTGTGCTTTCTCTTGCTCTCTCATAAATAAATAAAATACTTAAAAAATAAAAAGACATATACCTAGTGACATGAAACCATTGGAAAAAAAATAGTCTACATAGTGAATAGAAAATTCTTCATGTTCTCATTAACTGCCGTGTGTCTGACTTTTGACATCCTGAAGTGGTATGTGAATTGAGGATATGTTCAAATTGCAGGATGTGGAAAATGAGCTAGCGGTACAAGTTAGTATGAAACATGAAATTGAACTTGCTATGAAGTTGTTGGAGAAAGATATCCATGAGAAGCAGGATACTCTGATAGGCCTTCGGCAACAACTAGAGGAAGTTAAAGCAATTAACATAGAAATGTATCAAAAGTTGCAGGTAAGGATCATTCTTTTTTTTTTTTTTAATTTATAGTGCATTAACCTACAATGGAGTAGAAATCAGTGATTCATCACATACAACACCCAGTGCTCATCATAGCAAGTGCCCTCCTTAATACCCATCACCTGTCTAGCTCATCCCCCCACCCACTTCCCTCCCACAACCTTCCGTTTGTTCTCTATCATTAAGAGTTTCTTATGGTTTCCCTCTTTTTTCTTCCCCCTTCCCATATGTTCATCTGTTTTGTTTCTTAAATTCCACATATGAGTGAAATCATATGATACTTGTCTTTCTCTAACTTATTTTACTTAGTGTAATACATTGTAGCTCCATCCATGTCGTTGCAAATGTTAAGATGACCTTCTTTTTGATGGCTGAGTCATATTCCATTCCACACACACACAACACGTCTTTATTCATTCATCAGTCAATGGACATTTGGGCTCTTTCCATAGTTTGATATATTGTTGATAATGCTGTTATAAACATCATGGTGCGTGTACCCCTTTCAAATCTATATTTTTGTATTCTTTGGGTAAATACCTAGTGGTGCAATTGCTGGATCATAGTGTAGTTCTATTTTTAACTTTTTGAAGAACCTCCATACTGTTTTCCAGAGTGGCTGCACCAGTTTGCATTCCCACCAACAGTGCAAGGGGTTCCCATTTCTCTGCATCCTTGCCAACACCTGTTGTTTCTTGTGTTGTTAATTTTAGCCATTCACAGGTGTGAGATGGTATCTCATTGTGATTTTGATTTGTATTTCCTGATGATGAGTGATGTTGAGCATCTTTTTATGTGTCTGTTAGCCATCTGGATGTCTTCTTTAGGAAAGTGTCTATTCATGTCTTCTCATTTTGTAACTGGATTATTTTTTGGGGGGGTGTTGAGTTTGATAAGTTCTTTATAGATTTTGGAGGTAAGGCTCATTCTTAAATTCTTAAATTTCTTGAGTTTAACGTAAATTGAAAATAATTTTTTGTATGAAGGATTTGGTTTTTAGCTGTGCCATATTGATAATAAAAACCAGTGACTCTTTTTCTGTATGGAAGCTTAAGTAGTGTAGCAATGGAATAGGTATCAAAGAATAAACAACCTATCTGAATTTCTTTTTTAATGCCAAAAGGTTAAGTATGAAGATTAAATCTTTTGGGAAAACTTAATCTAAATATGCAGGACATTTCTATGAATTCTTTATACAGTGTAGTCCTGAGGAAGATTTATTTTTTCTTAAAAAGATTTTATTTATTTGAGAGAAAGAGAGCATGAGCTTGAGGGAGGGGGAGAGGGAGAAGCAGACTCCCTGCTGAGTGTGGAGACCAACACAGGGCCTGACCCCAGGACCCTGATATCATGACCTGAGCTGAAGTCAGACACTTAACTGACTGAGCCACCCAGTTGCCCCTTTAATTATTTTTTTAAGATTTTATTTTTTTACTTTTTATTTTTTATTATTTTTATTTTATTTTTTATTATGTTAATCACCATACATTACATCATTAGTTTTTGATGTAGTGCTCCATGTGTATAACACCCAGTGCTCCATGCAGAATGTGCCCTTTTTAATACCCATTTGACAGAGACATAGCGAGAGAGGGAACACAAGCAGGGGGAGTGGGAGGGGGAGAAGCAGGCTTCCCCCAGAGCAGGGTGCCTGATGTGGGGCTCGATCCCAGGACCCTGGGACCATGACCTGAGCCAAAAGCAGACACTTAACGACTGAACCACCCAGGCGCCCCAGGATTTTATTTTTTTAAGTAATCCCTACACCCAGCATGGGCTCAGATCTACAACCCCAAGATCAGGAGTCTACATGCTTTACCTACTGACCCAGCCAAGGGCCCTGAGAAAGATTTAATTTTGATTGAAATGCTTTACTGTAGGGTCGCCTGGGTGGCTCAATCAGTTAAGTGGCTGTCTTCGGCTCAGATCATGATCCCAGAGTCCTGGGATCCAGCCCCGTGTGGGGCTCTCTGCTCAGTGGGGAGTCTGCTTCTCCCTCTGTCCCTCCCCACTGCTTGTGCTCTCTCTCAAAAAAATCTTAAAATGCTTTACTATAATAATTGTTATAATTCTCTCATGAAGTGACATCACTGTTTAAGTAGATTTGTTGCCAAAAACTATTTAATTGGAAAAAAAGCATAGTTTACAAGTTTATTCTGTTGTCTTCCAGAAGCACTAAAGGCAGTTTTCTTTTATTACATTTTAATTGAAGACTAATAGTACTACTGCTTTATATCATAGGAGTATTTTAATCTACAAATTAGCTCTACTCATTTCAAAGTAAAAATTCCATAGTGAAATGGTATACAAAACTTAAAAATATTCAGGTTTAAAAATCAAAGCCACTATAGTTTTTTTTTTCTTTCTAAATAGGGTTCTGAAGATGGCTTGAAAGAAAAAAATGAAATAATTGCCCGACTAGAAGAAAAAACCAATAAAATTACTGCAGCCATGAGGCAGCTGGAGCAAAGGTACAGCATTTTCAGTCTTAGTTTCTTTTTTTCCTTTTTTTCTCCCTTTTCTTTATTCAGCTCTGACACCTGCCACAAAAATCATTAGGAAAATTTAGATTAGGACTTTTTTTTTAAGCCCAGCAGGATTTTGCCTTTTTTGTTTTGGTTGTTGCATGGAATCAAGTTGCTTTATAGTAGGCTGATTTCATTTGAATTTGCCACTTTGTGGATTTTCTTAAAAGATTTAATATCGGCAATTTCATGTGGTTCAATTGATGACATAAAACAAATACACAAACAAAAACTTTAAAAAAGTGAAAAACGAACAAAATCTATGGTGGAATTATCCCTGATTGTTTCCATGCATATTGATTGTCATATCCTTTGTCATTCACCATCTCTTTATCTGAAATCAAGCTTTGAGTTGGCAGTTTAGTTGCGTTTCTTTGAGCTAGGACCCTCAACCCAAACCAATAAATAATTTTATTTAAATTGAATTGTTTTGTATTGGCATTTTTCACTTTTATTGTTGGAAAATGTAATGTATTTCCATTGACCTGTCATGTTGGTGTCAACATATGTCTTATCATTGCTTTCTTTGAATCTACTTATGAAAAACATAACTATTAATGCTTTATTGACATGAATATTCTTTTATTGACATCCTCTTTCTTCTTTTTTCTTTTTTGTTTTCTTTATCCCCATTTTTACATTTTGGACATCTTTATTACCTTTTTCTGTCTTTAATTTCTGTCCATTCCATTATGAAGTGACAATGATTTGTTAACTCAAACTAGGACAATTGCAATGTCATTGGTGAAATATGCCAGCAGTGACACTCAGGACCAGTACAAGCTGGTCAAAGATATATCTTTCTGAAAACCACTTGTATTTAAACAGACTAAAAGAGAATCGACAATTTTATAATATATTAAATAGAAAATAATTTATGCTATTAAGTATTTGAAAAGGGTATTAAGGACCCTGTCCACTTCTTGATCAGCTGCTGTGGTAATACACTGCCATAAAGCAGAGTGGGTGCACTTGGATTTCCAAAAACACATTCCTCAAACCTTGTGCACAAAGGCTGATTTGAGTATTGACCTTTTGGAGGTCAGGATTTTCAAGTGCAGTTTTATCTTTTTAGCTACTTTTTGATGGAAAATATAAACATTGTTTAAAAATAAGTTAACCCTTTGGTTTCACAATGTGTTGGCACAAATTTTCCCTGTTGGCCCACTCTTGGCCTAATGGCTTCTTTACTGATTTTTTAAATATGTTTTAAAATAGTTTATAACCCAGATTGGCCATTCTCTTGTGCTCCAGCACCTCAGTTTTCCAGTTCCCTTAGCCCTCTTCTATGATAGCACAACTTCAAGCCCTACCTCACTCTGAGTTTTATTTTAGTTTCTGTAATCTTAGAGAAATACTTGGGTCCCTGTCTCCCTACGTTAATATTTTAAAATTAAATTTCAATTTAGAGATAACTTGAATGTTACTCTCTTTTGCTCAGAAGTGGCATTTATACTTCTCAAATGTGTCAGGTTGTCCCACTGGTATGTTTCTAGGAAGAAAAGAAGAGGCAGTGTTTTCAGCTAGTTGAATAGAAATTTTGCCTGTGATTCCCTACAAGGAGTTAATGTCTCTTTAATACGTGGGAAAACTTTTCTTATAAAAACATTGAAGTTAAATCTAAGAAATCCTAGATGGGAGGCAGGGAGTGGAGCTAAGCACAGGGAGAAGCAATGACTTACAAATAAAAACAGAACAAATGAAAATCACATTTTTAGCTAATATTTAAACATCAGTCATGAACAAAAATGATCTCTAGAGAATGTTGCCAACTAATACTATATTCTTTCGAATCTTAACATACACATACAGCTTTTGGCATAATGTAGTAAATGCATAAAGATCCTACAGGGAGGACTTGGCTGTTTGAAATAATTGCAGGTCTTTGCTCTTGGCCTTGTAGCACACTTGATTCCTGGCATACACATCCTAACATAAATAACAATGTGGCTTCTTCACCTAGTGTAGACGTAAATACTGTGCTTTACATGGTTTTGTAAAAAGGCAGTAACACACCCATTATACTTTCAAAGTTAATTCATTCTGCTCTACGTAAGTGGTAAAGGCTGTATTGCTTTGCATTGTTAATTATGAACAAGAAATAAAACATTTGAAGATAGTATTCTGGGCATATTATATGTTATATTGAAAAAAAATCACAAAACAATTTCTAGACATTGTGTGGCTCTTTCACGTTTGAGTTTGTGAGTTTTCCCCCAAACTTTGTTTTCATTTAGAAATGTTTCTATTTCCCCATTTTTCTTTTATTTGTCTTCTTCACCCTTTTACACCCTAGTTCTAGCCTCAGTTTTACCCAAAGTTGATTTGAATTACACCAGATTGCAGCAAGCAGAGAAGGCGCAAATGGAAGCTGAAGATGAAGACAAGAAATATCTACAAGAGTGTCAGAGTAAATCCGACAATCTGCAGAAACAAATCTCCCAAAAGGAGAAACAGCTGTGAGTATTTCACTCTTAGAAACAAATACTTGTATTAACATACTCCCCACCCCTTCTTCTTTGCACATAATGGTAGGATACCTATATTTTCCTTTAGTTAATGATGCCAGCTAGATTATGGAGTTCTCCTTGAGAAATAAAAAAAAATTAGAAACATAATTGATAAAATTTGTGTTTTTTGTCTTTATTGTTTTCAGAGCATTTCAACTATCTTGTTACCTTGCTCAAGGAGAATTTTATTCTTTCTGCTGGTATATAAAAGCAGATGGTCATTATATTTCTAAGTACTGAGTGTAATATGCCTTTGTAACTCAAAGGAACTTATATTATCAAAGAATAAGTTTTTTGAGAACATTTTTATTAATACTTCATATCATAGATCTATATATCTATTACCAGCTAAGAATGATGTCCATATACATCATTGGACTGAAAAAGGCAAGTTGCAGACAGTATGTGAGATATCCCATTTTTTATAAAATTAAAACTATGCATATGTGCATATTTACATACATATAAAGAGAGAAAAGAGTTTAAAGAATAAGGATTCTGGGGAATGATTATCTTAGGGGAGTGATGGCAGATTGGCAGGGGTATTTTAGTTTTTACTTTATTAAACATCAGTATTTTCCCCCAGTCAATATGTGCTACTTTTGTTATTAAAATAAAGCAACAATAGAAAAGTGATGTATTATGTTTAACAGATCATTAAACAAGACTACATGCCATTTATGATGTATAACTTGCTAAGCTGCCTTGAGATCCAGATGGTTGAGGTGGCATTAAACTCCTCTCAATTCTTGCTAATTTTCTAATAGTTCTGTCAGTTATTGAGAGGGAATTTGTTGCATATCCCAACTTTAATTGTGGATTTGTGTATTTCTACTTTTAGTTCTAATGGTTTTTGCTTCTTGTATTCTGAAGTTCTGTTGTTTGGTGCCTACACATTTAGGATTGCTGTATCTTTTTGGTGAATTGACCTTTTTATCAACATGATATTCTTCTTTATCTTGGTAATTTTCTTTATCAAATGTTAATAGAGCTACTTCTTTCTTTTGATTAATATTGTCATGTAATAAAACGTTAACATTCACATTTTTCAGTCTTTAAACTTTCAGCCTAATCTTTATTATCATCAGTATATTTGAAGAAAGTTTCTTATAGTTCATATTTTTATCTGTTCTGACAATTTCTTAATATATTTAGTCCATTTACATTTAGTGTAATTGTTGATATGAGAGCTTAAGTTGCTGTTTTATTGTTTTGTTTTCATTCCTTTCTTTTTTCCTGCCTTCCTGTGGATTATTTGAATATTATTTAGAATTCCTTTTTGATTTATCTATGGTGTTTTTGAGTGTGTCTCTTCATGGATTTTCCAATGATTGCTCTAAATACTGTCTTATATATTTGCAACTTTTCAGTGCCAACATTTTACTACTTTGAATGAAGTGTGGAAGCCTTACTTCCACTTAGATCTTTTTACTCTCTCCCTTTTATAACATAATTGACTTAAATATTTTCTTTGTGCAATATTGAGAACCACATCAGACAATATTAGAAAGTTTTTTTTTTAATATAAACTCTAAGCCCAATGTTGAGTTTGAACTCATGACTCTGAGATCAAGAGTTGCATGCTTTATGGCTGAGCCAGCCATGTGCCCCCACATCAGACAATATTATAGTTTGTGCTTCAAACATTAAACATAATTTAGAAAACTTTATTGTTCTTTCTTCCTGAAATCCCAAGTTTTCTTCTGTATCTGAAGAACTTCTTTTGTGTTTCTTTTAGGGTAGGTCTGTTGGCAACAAATTCTCTTTATTTTTCATCTGAGGTCTTGATTTCACCTTCATTTCTGAAAGATATTTTCAGAATATCCTTAGAATTCTGAGTTGACAGTTCTTTTCTTTCAACACTTGAAAAGTGTTGTACCACTTTCTTTTGGTTTTCATAGTTTCTGATGAAAAATACTGTCATATGAATCCTGTTCCTCTACCCAAGATTATTTCTTTGGATTTATCCTCTTTAGACTTTGGTCAGTTTATCTTTACTAAATTTGGAAAATTTTCAGCTTTTTTTCTAGATATTTTTTCCAGCTCCGACTGCTTTCTCTCTTCTGGAATTTTTTTTTTTTTTTTTAAAGATTTATTCACTTTAGGAACACCTGGGTGGCTCAGTCAGTTAAGCATTTTCCTTCGGCTCAGGTCATGATCCCATGGTTCCGGGATCGAGCCCCACATTGGGCTCCCTGCTCCACGGGAAGCCTGCTTCTCCCTCTCCCTCTGCCCCTCCTTCCCACTCATTCTCTCTCTGTCAAGTAAATCTTATTTAAAAAAAAAAAAAAAACACTTATTCACTTTAGAGAAAGAAAGGGAGTGGGGACAGAAGGAAGTAGGAGAAGGGAGAATCCTAAGCAGACTCCTTGCTGAGCATGGAGCCTGACACAGTGCTTGATCTTATGACCCTGAAATCATGGCCAGAATCAAGAGTCGGATGCTTAACTGACTGAGCCACCCAGGCTCCTAGGCTCCCAGGCTCCCCTCTCTTCTCTAGAATTCTGATAACCTTGAATATTAGATTTTTAAAAAAAATAGTCCTATAGGTCTCTGGCACTTTTTTCCCCCCAGTCTTTTTTGTCTCTTGTTCAGATTGGGTAATTTCTATTGTAGTGTGTGTTTTTTTTTTTGTTTTTTTTTTTTGTTTTTTTTTAAGTAGGCTCTGTGCCCAATGTGGGGCTTGAACTCACACCTCTGAGATCGAGTCACATGGTCTACTAACTGAGCCAGCCACGTGCTCCTCTGTTGTAGTGTTTTGAAATTCATTGTTTCCTCATCATCTTCATTCTCCTACTGAGCCCATTTAGTGAGGTTATTGTATATTTCCTTTTGACTATATTTCCTTCCTTTCTCTCTTTTTTACTTGTCTGTGGCTGTACCACCCTGAACGTGCCTAATCTCGTCTGATCTTTTTTGCTAAAACTTAACTATTTTGTTTCAAGTGTGTTCTTAATTGGTCATAGCATTTTTTTAAAAAATATTTTATTTATTCATTCATGAGAGACAGAGGGGGAGAGAGAGAGAGAGAGAAGCAGAGGGAGAAGCAGGCTCCCAAGGAGCAGGGAGCCTGATGCGGGACTTGATCCCAGGACCCTGTGATCACGACCTGAGCCGAAGGCAGACGCTTAACCATCTGCGCCACCCAGGCGCCCCTTGGTCATAGCATTTTTATGATGACTGCTTTAAAATTCTTGTCTAGTCAGAATTATCTGACATGGCATCTATTTTTTCTCATCTAAGTTAAGATTTTTCTTGGGTCTTGGTATGACAAGTGTTTTTCAGTTGCATTCTGGACATACTGAGAATTATGAGACTACATCTTATTTAAATTTTAGCAGCTCTCCACTGAAACCACACCAGCAGGGGAATATAGATGCTGACTCCTCTCTCTCTCTCTTTTTTTTTAAGATTTATTTATTTTAGAGTGCAAGCAGGAGGTGCAAGGGCAGAGGGATGGGGAGAGAGAATCCCAAGCAGACACCATACTGAACATGGAGCCAGATGCAGGGCTCAATTCCATGACCCCAAGATCATGACCTGAGCCAAACCAAGAGTCAGACACTTAACCGACTGAGCCACCAGGATGCCCCAACACTGACTCTATACCAAGTGGGGTTAGTAGAATCCTAGAACCATTCTGGATGGGATGGAGAAAGGTACCTAACTACTGGGCAGGGATTGAAATCTGTGCTTTCCACTCAGTCTCTACTGACACTGTGGAAAAGAGGAGTGGTGCCTTGTTACTCTCAAGTAGCAGCGGAAGTCCAGGGTTCTGCCTTGGTCTCTGCCGACACCATTCTGGAAGAGAGAGGTAGAGGCACCTCATTTCAGTGGGCAGGGGTAGAAATCTAGGCTTCTCACTTGGCTTTCACTGACCTGGGGAGGGTGAGAAATACCTTATTATTGATGTGGGGTTAAAAGTCCAGGTTCCCAATGTGGTCTGCATAAGAGAGGGTGCTGGGCAGTAGTGAAAGTCCAGGCTTGCCCCTTGGACTTCTCTGATATTACCACTTTGGGGATTGGGAGAGACACTTTATTATTGCCAGTGCGGATGGCAATCTAAGCTCCCCGCTTGGCCTTTGCTAACAGTGGTTGAAGGCCTATGGCATTTTCCTCTGAGTTTTTTTGTTTTTTGTTTTGCTGCAATAGGGCATTTATTGTCAAAACGGTTTCTATCAATTCTAGGCTACCTTTTCCCTGTCCTTTAGCAAGAGAGAGCAGGCTTTTCTTTGGACTTTTTTTTCTGTATCCATTACAGATATTGGGCTTCTTCAACACCCACTCTGAGCTATATAGGAGGCAAAAAGGGGCATCAGGGAACTCCTCACCACGTTATTCTTTGCCTTCTGGGGTTCCTACTGCTATAGGGCTACCCTAGTTAATAAGTCTTGGATACAACTGTAGAGAGAAGATGTTTGTTTCTGCTAAAACCATGAAAATAATTTTGTGTCTCAGTTGGTGCCATTTTGGTAGAGCATGAACATGTGAACAATTTGGAGATCAGGAGAATCCCTGATGGCTCAGAAAAATTGTAACGTTTCTGTAGAAAGGGGCAGCTGGGACTCTGTCCAAGAAAAACAAATCCCATTTTTTTCTCCTAAAATGGAAATAACTTTATTGATTTCTGACTATGAAAATAATTACATGCTGTTGGAAAATGTAGGAAAATGTGAAGAAAATAAAAATTAGAGTATTTTTTTTACATTTTGATGAATATCCCTTTTTTTGGTGTACATAGATGTTTTTTATGTATTTTAGAGGATCATACTACATGCTTTTTAGTATCTTGTTCATTGCATGTGCTGTGTCATGGGCAATGTATCATATCAATTAATATAGGTATACACCATCGTATCCGTTAATCTAAAGGAATCCTTTAGCCTGAAAAATTGTGCTCTATTGTTTGAGTTTGCATCTTTGATTATTGGTGGAATCCTTTTGTATTTCCTTATTTTGTGAATTGCCAGTTCTTATCTACTTTTTCCCTTGGAGTGTTCAGCTTATTAATATTTGCTTGTAAGAGTTCTTTATTTACTCTGGGTATCTCACAGTGAAATATTTTCTAAATTTACTGTTTTTAAACTTTGTTCATAGTGGTTTTTTTAATTTAGACATTTTAAAGTTTTTTTTTAAGATTTTTAATTTTTTTAAAATTTATTTGACAGAGAGACAGCAAGAGAGGGAACACAAGCAGGGGGAGAGGAAGAAGCAGGCTTCCCACAGAGCAGGGAGCCCGATGCGGGGCTCGATCCCGGGACCCTGGGATCATGACCTGAGCCGAAGGCAGACACTTAACGACTGAACCACCCAGGCGCCCCTAGACATTTTAAAGTTTTAAATAGTTTTATTTTTCCTTTTTTTTCCCTTTATGGTTTCTGCCTCTTGTGGTCAATGTGTATTTTGACAATATATTTATAATAACTTAAAAATATTTTTCCTTTGCTTTTTCACTCAGTTTTTTTTCTGATTCTGGATGATGTGGCCACTCAAGGCACTCCATACTTTGGTTACTTCAGTTTTAGTAACATATACCTGTCTCTGTATTCCTTTTGAATTTGTAGTGAAATAGTATTTATCAACAATTTGTAAATTCCATTTAGGGGAATCTCTTCTCTTCAACCTGAATTATAAAATCTAAAATTTACTTCACGGAGAAATAATATGGCTATAGATAGAAATGCTAACTTTATGAGGAAACAAAAGTAATCAGAATATCAACACAAGAGTATTTAAATGATATATTGTGATAGTCTCAATATTATATATTGCTTTTAAAATTTAAAGTATTAGAGGACACCTAGGTGGCTCAATCGGTTAAGCATCTGCCTTCGGCTCAGGTCATGATCCCAGGGTCCTGGGATCGAGCCCCACATCGGGCTCCGTGCTCCGCGGGAAGCCTGCTTCTCCCTCTCCCACTCCCCCTGCTTGTGTTCCCTCTCTTCACTGTGTCTCTGTCAAATAAATAAAATCTTAAAAAAATAAAATTTAAAGTATCAGAGACTGTAGCACTATTTATGCCTCATCTGTTATACCTACTTATGAGCAATAATTTTCAAAATGATTTCTCTTTGGTATCCTAAAGTGTAGGAATTTGACTACTTTTGTTTTGCCAGATAGCACCTGTTAGAATGATGATGTTAGTGCTTTCAAATGTGAATTGGCATTTCCAGGCTGTATGAGTTTTCCTCTTGACATGTCTTTGGACTTAGCTCTGTCCTGTAAGCAATCTGTAAAGTACCAGGGTTGATTTTTCTGTGACTGATGTTTAATTGGTTTAGTGGTTGCTGTAATTCTTGTATCAGAACAATAGTTAGTTGTAAAATTTTATACATGGCAGAGAAATGAAAATAATTAAAACTTCACATTTTTCTCCTTTGTTTCATTCCCCCAAGATACAACCAGTTTTAATAGTGTGTACCCTTCAAGGCATTTTATATGCTCATATGGCATTTATGTACACAGAATTTAAAAATAACATAAATTATTGTTTAGGAAGGAGTTTTTGTGGTTGGCAAATAAATTGATATGTTGGGATCAGAAAACCCTATGCTGCTGAACTTGTTTACAAAAAATATTTATGAAAGAAAATACCTGAAGAAATGCACGTGAAAATAATCAAAAAGGTGGTGTTATTAAAGAAAGCAGACAACTGTCATGTGAGAAATAGCACTAAGCTTCTGTGTGTTTGTCATTCAAGGGTGCAGCTGGAAACTGATTTGAAGATTGAGAAGGAATGGAGGCAGACTTTGCAGGAAGATCTTCAAAAGGAGAAAGATGCCTTATCTCATCTTAGAAATGAGACCCAACAAATCATTAGTCTTAAAAAAGTAAATGGTGGTAAAACTTTAAAAATTACATCTTTGAAAAAACTAAGTTACTTAAAAAGAGAAATCATAATTTATATTTATACCAAAGAGCCATCCCTGATGGCTCAGAATATACTGGTCATCTTTAAAAATACCAGTAAGAAGGGGGGCCTGGCTGGGGTCGTGAGTTCAAGCCCCACATTGGGTGGAGAGTTTACTTTAAAAATAAAACAAAACAAAAAAACCCATGGGGTGCGTGGGTAGCTCAATCGGTTGAGCATCTGACTCTTGGTTTCAGCTCAGGTCATGATCTCAGGATCGTGGGATTGAGCCCTGAGTCTTGTGTTGGGCTCTGTGCTCACTGGGGAGTCTGCTTGAGATTCTTTCTTTCCTTCTGCCCCTCCCCACCTCAAATAAATAAATCTTAAAAAAAAAAAAAAAAAAAACCAGTAAGGAGATTAAATGAATGGGAAATAGGTGATAGTTGATGGAACAGCTATGAAAGCTTGGACATAGAGTTCTGTTTTTTATAAAAAGCTAAAGGATGTATGTTCCTAATTATTTGTATGTATACAATGGGGAGTTTCTTGTTTATTTCTTTTAAATTGCGTTTTCTGTTTTTTATTGTTTTGAAGGAGTTCCTTAACATCCAGGATGAAAATCAGCAGCTGAAAAAAATATATCATGAACAGGAGCAAGCTCTTCAAGAACTTGGGAACAAACTTAGCGAGTAATTTCTCTTTTTTCCTTTATCTATATAGTCCTTGACTTTTATAAAGGTAGGAGTGTGCCAAACCAAGCAGGCAGGAGAGTTTAAATATAGAAAAGAAAGATATAAACTATTAAAATCAAAACCAAAAACCTTAAACATGCAAGACTGGATTGGAGAGATTTTGTTAAAAGTTAGGTTCAGTTTAATACATTTTAACTTTAAATGCTTTCCAGTAGGTGAAAGTTAAGACTCTTGTTTCATTTCTTCAAATTAGAGAATTCAGAAGTTCATTTAATATCTTTTCCCCAGAGCAACAGAAACCAGATTTCCAAAATATCTGAAGAGATCATTTTCAGACTGTTTTGAGAAGGAGCCAACATTGTGAGAAGTGGAGAGTTGTTTTTGTTTTTTTAAGATTTTATTTATTTGACAGAGACACAGTGAGAGAGGGAACACAAGTGGGAGTGGGAGAGGGAGAAGCAGGCTTCCCAGGGAGCAGGGAGCCCGATGTGGGGCTCGATCCCAGGACCCCAGGATCATGACCTGAGCCGAAGGCAGACGCTTAACGACTGAGCCACCCAGGCGCCCCAAGAAGTGGAGAGTTTTAGCTCGAGTTGGGCCTTAACTCCATACAGTGTGGTTGATTCTGTTGCAGCCAAGTGTTACTGGGTTGCTGGAAAGACAAGAAGTAGTGTCCTGTCTTTCTCACCTTCCTCCTTGTTCCATGTGGTCAGTGTTTTGGGTTAGCAGCTTCATCTTCGTGCCCTGATTGAACATGCTTAGTTTAGTATTGAATGTATCACTGCCATGTTAAAAAAAAAAAAAAAAAAATCACTTTTTTTTTTTTTTAACACAGAAAAGTAAAAGAAAGCTATAGTGCCCATAATCTTATCACTGGTATAAACCCCTTTGATGTTTTATATGGTTAAAAATTCAAATAGCACAATTTCCTCCCTCTCCCAAGTATCAATCCTCAAAGTTAGTGAGCCTTAGTGAACCTCGTAACAAAATTTATGTGAATATCTCATCATATATCATTAGTCACATATGTACGTATATATCATTTGTAACAAACTCAATAGAAATTGTAACTGGAAAGGAGACTTCATTGCTAAAGATGAAGTTCCATTAAGAAATCTTGAGACCAATTTCTAAGGCCATAGGAAAGTAGTTCACTAAAACCACAAAAGGAAATACTAGTTCTCAAAAAGATAAACCTGTCGGGGTGCCTGTCTGGCCCAGTCAGTAGAACATGTGACTCTTGATCTTGGGGTCATGAGTTTGAACTCCACATTTGGGGTAGAGTTGGCTTTAAAAAAGAAAAGATAAAGCTATTTTTGTTTCTGTAAATTCAAAGAACAATTTACATTGTGAGTCTAATAAGCAAGATTTCAATTCTAATCTGGCATTCACCTAATGAGCACTTTGACCTAGACCCTATGCTAAGTGCTTATTACCTTATTTCCCATTTATTTATTTGACAAATACTAAGCTTGTATTACGTGCCAGGCAGTATTCCAAGCGCCAAGGACTCAGCAATGCACAATCCCCACAACAAAAATAATATTTACATTTAAGATCATAAAGGTTTAATATTAAAACAGATTAGAATAGTAAAAGGGGAATGTGTATATTACCTTCCACCCATCTTGCGCGCAACGCTAAAGACTGTATAGTTTATTAAAGACATGATCATTTTAATGTTTAGATAACTCAATTCACTTTTTAGATTTTAAGTTCAAATTAATTAACATGTAGTATTACGATTTCAAGAGTAGAATTTAGTGATTCATCACTTTACACGTACCACCTAGTGCTCATCCCAGTAAGTGCCCTCCTTAATCCCCATCACCCATTTAGCCCACCCCCCCACAGCAGCCCTCAGTTTGTTCTCTTAACTATGGAGTCTCTTACGGTTTGCCTCCCTTTCAGTTTTTTACCTCCCCTTCCCCTTTGTACATCTGTTTTGTTTCTTAAATTCCACATATGAGTGAAATCATATATTTGTCTTTCTCTGACTTATTTCACTTAGCATGATACCCTCTGATTCCTCTTTTTTTTTTTTTTTAAGATTTTAAGTAAGCTCTACACCCAATGTGGAGCTCGAATCTACAACCCTGAGATCAAGAGTTGCACGCTCAGGGCACCTGGGTGGCTCAGTCGGTTAAACATCCATCTCTTTTTTTTTTTTTTTTTTTTTTTTAAGATTTTTTTTTTTTTTTTGACAGAGAGAGACAGCAAAGCAGGAACACAAGCAGGGGAAGTGGGAGAGGGAGAAGCAGGCTTCCTGCCGAGCAGGGAGCCCAATGCGGGACTCCATCCCAGGACCCTGGGATCATGACCTGAGCTGAAGGCAGACGCTTAACGACTGAGCCGCCCAGGTGCCCTTAAACATCCATCTCTTGATCTTGGCTCCGGTTTTGATCTCAGGATCGTGAGTTCAAGCCCTGCATTGAGTAGGCCTAGCGTGGAGCCTACTTAAAGAATCACGTGTTCTTCCAATTGAGCCAACCAGGCACCTCTGAATTCACTTTTTTCCCCTTTTTCCTTTAGTCTAGTTTGTTGTTTCTCAGTTTTTGGTTTGCGTGAAAATTACTGCTCAGGGTTGGACATACTCAACAATCTATACTGAACTTTATGGGCTATTTAAGGCATTTTCAAGGGTTATTTTGACTAAGTTTTTTTTTTATTAAGTTTTTTTTACACATGCCGAGCTCCACTGTAACTACTGTGTGCATGTTCTTCTGAAGTTTGTGAGTTTCTTTGTTTTTTAACTTAAGAATATGTTAAAGGTTTTTCCATATCAGTACATCGAGATGTTCCATGGGATGGGTGTGCTATAATTTAAACCTTCTAATTTTTTTCTTTTATAAATGATAATGCTGTGAAATCCTTGTATGCTTGTGTTGATACACTTTAATGAATATATCTGAAGAGTAGGTTCCTAAAGGTGATTGCTGGGCCAAAAAGAATGTGCTTTAAAAAAATTCTGGTAGTGCCAAATTATCCTCTCTCTCCAATATTAGACCCCTTCAATATTTCCAATATTAGTAGGAGAGAATGTTTTTGCCAGTCTGATAGTTGAAAATCTTACTGTTTTGATTTGTATTTCTTTAACCATAAGCACAGTTGAGCATCTATTTTTATCTATTTAAGTAATCTCTATACCCAACGTGGGGCTCAAACCTACAACCCCGAGATCAAGCAAGTGTTGGATGCTCCACGGACGGAGCCAGCCAGGTGCTCCTGAACATCTGTATTTATTCATGTTCCCTTTGTGTTTATAGTTTACTGCCTGTTTATATCCTGTGCATATTTTTGGTTGCTCATCTTTTTCTTAGGGGATTTTAAAAATTGTACACATTGTACATCTTCTGTTTGTCTTTTGTCTTTTTACTTCATTTTTGGTAATGTTTTTTCCTTGTTAATCTTTGAGTTGTTATGCCACAGATTTATTAGTTTTCCTCTGCTGTTCCTGGGGCCATAGTCTCTGGGACATGCATTGGACCAGCTTTGAGTCAGAACTGCTTTTATCCCTTTCTTTCTTTCTCTCCCCCTCCCCCTCCCGTTTTATCCTTTCTTAACCGTAGTCCTCTTGAGTGGTGAGAGTCATTATCAGGGCTGGAGGAGGGACAGCGGCCCCTGTGAGGCTTCCCATAGCGCACCAGGTCATCTGGGAAACACTTTTATTCTTCCTCTTCATCCTCCGGCTCCTGTGATTATAAGCGATCGGGTTCCTCCCTGACACACAGGGTGATGATTATCTTTTTAAAAATTTGTTGATGAGGAGGGACTGAGGTTGGATCAGTACTTTTTAATCTTTGCTTCTAATTTACCAGAAGCCTTTAGGCTTTATATAGTCCATTTGGGTATTATTTAAAATGCAGAGTGGGAGGATAAAGGTCATTTGGAATAATATGAACCATATTTAATTTTATTAAAAGGGAAAATACAGGTTTCGGAAAGAACCATGCAAGAGTGTGTTTTCAAGTAATGATTAAACTTAAAAATTAGTATTCATTAGTATCACTCACGGGAATAAGTATTCCTCTGCCATTTACTAGTTTTGTGACTTAGGGTTATTTAACACCTTTAAGCCCAGTTCCACATTTGTAAAATGGAGTGTTATAAAATCCCCAAAGGGTTCTTTTTCTAATTGAGAATAAGCATGTGAAAACCCCTAGCACAGTACCTTTGCTTATCACAACCAGAATATCAGTTTTCTTGTCAGATGAGGTTGGATGTGAAAATTACTTTCTAGTGCTCACTTTCTGAACCTGTGATTTTAAATGTAAATAATTAATTTTAACTAGAAAAATACTTTCACTAATGAAGTATTTACTCTTACTGATTTCTTATTAAAGGATTCTTAAAAAGAATTTTTGATAAATTTTGAAAGGTTTTAAATGTTATTCTGAATAAATTATGTTGTAGAGATGAATTAGGATTAAACAAAAAGTGAGCTGTTCACATTTGAAGAAAATGTGGAACATGAAATATTAGAATGGAATATTCAAGAAAGAGAATCTAAACTAATATATCTGTTATAATGACTGGGTTTAAAATATGTGAAGGATGATAACCAGCTTTTCTCTTATCCTCATCACGGCTTAAATTCCAACAAGAAGAATTTTTAGTTTAGAAAAATAAATTTCCAGGACTCTTCCAAATGTAGTATTCTGTAAAAGATATTCTTTCCATGTAAAGAAAATTACAGATTTTTTTTTTCTTTCCTCAAAGCAGAGGTTTCGGGATTATCAGAGGCTGTATCATTTCTGGGTGTTTTTCCTATAGTATCATAATTGATTGTATCACATTTATTATAGCCTCATGTTTTACCTTGGCCCTTCCCTATGCTGTTTTCATGCTGTGGTCAAATATTTTTACACAATTAAATATTTCTAAAAGCTAATTAAAATGAATGATATGGACCTCTGTTTCCTCCCTACAGAGAGGAGATGTTCTTGTACATTGTGTTTATTGGAACTGTAACTGCTACTCCTTTCTTTAGGTTGGTTTGGCAACTCGTATCAGAGGGGGGCAATATTTTCAGTGTCCATATTTGTGAATAAAGGCATTTTAACCAGAAATATAGCAACACCAGTGAATTTCCATAACGATCTCTGTAGCAAATGCCATTAAGCTACTTTTATTCCATATTCAGGTTTTCTGTGTAGCACAGTTACTGCTTTGGCTATTATTCCCCCCAGCGTCAGTTTTCTTTAGGCACATTTTGTGGATGTGAATTTAGCCAAGAAAATTTTAGTATTGTGTTTGTATTTTTAATCTGTGTAGTTTTACATTGATTATTCCCATGGTAGAAGTATGAACCAGATTAAAAAAACTAACATTTTTGGTTTTTTTTTTTTTGGTCTTAGAACAAGGAGCACTTGTAGTATGAAGCAATTTCCTGCCTCAGGAGCAGAGACTTGATGTACCTTTTGATCCAGTAATTTCATTTTTAAGTTGTTTTCCTAAGAAAAATAATACAAATATTTTGGTCATTCCAATTTTAATGAACAATTTTTGTGGTGAGAAATTTGAAATAAGTTGAAAGTTCAGCAGTAGATAATTATATAAACTATATTTTTCATTGTTACCGTGTAACCATTTTACTATAATGATGTGGCAGATACTTAATGACAAGTCAATAGCTCTCAGCCTTTCAGGATATATTAGTACCTGAAAAGAGCTGTTTATGGAAAACTATATAAATGATGATTCCATTTAAAATATACACATACTCGGGGGGATGGGGTGACTGGGTGAAAGGCATTAAGGAGGCAGATGATGTAATGAGCACTGGGTGTTATATAAGATGGCTGAATCACTGACCTCTACCTCTGAAACCAATAATACACTATGTTAATTAATTGAATTTAAATAAATTTTAAATATACACGTACTCATCAACATGTAGATTATCCTCTCTGGGTAGTAGGATCACAGATAATTATTGCTATTTATAATCTGCATGTTCATTGACATATATTTGCAAAATGAAAAGTATCACAATTCTATTTTCCTTAATATTCCCACTCTTACCATTCTTTTGCTTCTGGTAGAGAAATAGTGTGTATAATGGCTAGCATGGGCTTTAATGTCATAAAGACCAGGGTTTGAATCCTGGCTTCCCCAGTTACTACCTCTGTGACCTGTTACGAGTGATGAAACCTCATCAGGCCTCACCTTATTGATTGATTGATCTTTAAAATAGGTGAGTTTTTTGGGGCATCTGGGTGGCTCAGTGTTATGTGTCTGCCTTCGGCTCAGGTCATGGTTCCAGGGTCCTGGGATCGATCCCCACATCGGGCTCCCTGCTCAGCGGGAAGCTGCTGCTTCCTCTCCCACTCCCCTGCTTGTGTTCCCTCTCTCGCTGTGTTTCTGTCAAATAAATAAAATCTTTAAAAAAAAAAAAAGGTTTTAAAATAGGTTGGTTTGTTTTTTTTGAAGATTAAATGAGCATATACATGCAAAGGTCATAGAGCATGAAGTCTGGCACCCTGTGAGCTCACAGTAAATGATAGCGTTTACTGATACTGTCCAAACCACATGAAAATGCCAGTATTCTTTTGTTAAAGCAATTTTTAAATTTAAAAAGGACATTTTTGCTTAGGACATTTAGAGAATATAGGAAAATATAAAATCCCACTAGTCAAAGAAGATCATTAGAATCATGTGGTATATACAGTTTTATATTCTATGAAAAACCAATACCTTAATGAATTGCTAGATGTTCTATATGTAATATATTTACTGAAACATGGACCCATTTGTAATCTTTTCAGATCAAAACTTAAAATAGAAGATATAAAAGAAGCCAACAAAGCACTGCAGGTGAGTAGAAAGTGTTTTCCTCAAGTAGGAAAGTAGAGATATATGTGAGTCTCCACTAGAAGGTAAAGCCTATATAAATCTAAGGTACTATTACTGAGTCCTGGGATGTGTGGAGGCAGAAGCACCAACGGGGAGTTGGGAAGTTGGGGATCCGGCTCCCCCCATTATGCCTCTAGAAGCAGTCAGTAATCATATTGGAAATGACCTTGGGGAGAACTTTGTCTACCTTCCTACAAAGCATGGCCTGATGGAGTGAAACCGCCTTTGAGAGTCCTTGAGTCCCTGTGCTGGTCTGTTAGTAGTTTTGACTGTCAACAAGTCACCCCTTCATGGAGTTTGTTCCCTCTTCTGAATGGCTTCTGAAACGCGCAGAGGATTTTGCACAGGGTTGCTTTGAATACAGAGGTTAATATGTGTGAAAAGTGATTAGTACAGTGGTTCAGTGTATGGTTCTGAAGGCGTCTGGAGGCAAGAATCCCTTCTACAACATAGAAGGAAATAGTCTCTCTCTGAGTGGTTCAGTGAGATTACCTTCTACCACACAGCTTCCCATTCTGTTTTTTTAGCGAAGTGTTACATGAAAATAATTTAAAAAGTCAAGTAGTGCTAGAAAGAATTAAAAAAAGTAGTAGTCTCCTGTTCTTCACCCCCTTGTCCCTCATCTAACCTAGCTTCTGCCACCTGAAGGGGGCGACTTCCGATTCTTTTAGTTCCTTTTGGCTTTACCCCCCTATTTCTAAATAATAGGCAGTATATATTATTCACTCATTTATTTAAGACCTATTTTAGACCTATCTATATAGCCTGGTTAACATGGTGGATGAGGAGTTTTGCCCACTCTCACCCTGGTCTGTTTGCTCATTGTCCTCCCAATATAATTAAAAGTTTTAATGGAATTCATTTACTGTATATTTTTCGACTGTTTAAATATTGTTCTTTGCTGGGCCATGTAGTTTATTGTGATTATATTTTCTTTCTTGAACTGTTTCTTTTTTCCTCTGGAGTTAATAATTGCCTTTCCCCTGAAACTAATAATATACTATATATTAACTAAATTGAATTTTAAAAAATTGAAAAAAAAGTTTTGTATTAGAGCATCTGAGTTTTCTTATACCTTCATACACCTTTATAACAGTTTTTTTTTGGGGGGGGGACACCCAGGTGGCTCAGTTAGTTAAGCATCTGCCTTCGGCTCAGGTCGTGATCCCAGGTTCCTGGGATCAAGTCCTGCTCCTTGCTCAGCGGGCAGCTTTCTTCTCCCTCTGCCTATCCCTCTCCCTGCTCGTGCCCTCTCTCTCCCTCTGACAAATAAATAAAATCTAAAAAAAAAAAAAATTTATTTGATAGGGTGTGATAGTCGGGGAGGGGTGGGCAGAGGGAGAGAGACAAGCAGACTCCCCACACTGAACACAGAGCCCCAAGTTGGGGCTCAACGCAGGGCTCCATCATGACTTAAGCAGGAACCAAGAGTCGGATGCTCCACCGACTGAGCCACTTAGCCACCCCACCCCTAACTTGCTTGCTTGCTTTATTTATATTTGTATTTATGTTTTCCCTGGCATGCTTTTTTTTTTTTTTAGATTTTATTTGTTTGACAGAAGGAGCACAAGCAGAGGGAGCAGCACGCAGAGGCAGAGGGATAAGCAGGCTTCCCACTGAGCGGGGAGCCTGATGCGGGACTCCATCCCAGGACCCTGGGATCATGACCTGAGCCGAAGGCAGACGCCCAACCACCTGAGCCACCCAGGCGCCCCCAACATGCTTCTTGATTATAAAGTTTTTCCCATGTTGAGGTGCCTGGGTGGCTTAAAGTGTCTGCCTTCGGCTCAGGTCATGATCCCGGAGTACTGGGATTGAATCCCACATTGGGCTCCCTGTTCAGTGGGGAGTCTGCTTCTCCCCCTGCCCTTCACCCTGCTTGTGTTCTCTCCTGCTCAAGCTCTCTCAAATAAATAAAATAAAGTTTTTCCTATGGCAAAATGAATCAGGTAATTATTTCGTTCTTTTTTCCTTGGAGTCATCCTCATGGAGTTCTTTGCTCTCCTGCTTCAGTCTGGTCTGGTCACCCTTGTCCTGACATTTTCCTTTGCTGCCATTCTTAGAATTCCTTTTATCCTTCTCATATGTTAGGGTTCCTATTACCTGAACCCTTTTAAGTTCTTTCTTGGTTTACTCCCTTGTTTTGGGAAATGCATCCTTCGGTAGCTTCCTGGAAAATGCTGAGTTGAAAAGATAAAGGTTTTAAGAATTTGTGCATCTGTGTATATGCCTTTTATTTTGCTCTCACATTTTTTTTGGATGGGTAGAGATGTCTGCCCAACTGTCATTATTTAAGCTCTGTAAAATTTTCATTATGAAACATACCGTGTATATAACTGTATAAATACAACTTAACACTAGCATAGGGCGCCTGGGTGGCTCAGTTGGTTAACTGTCTGCCTTCAGCTCAGGTCATGATCCTGTAGCTTGGCAGGAAGCAAAGCGCTTCCACTAGGCTTTTGGACATTTGGGAAGTCGCTTTCCTTTTTAATGGCATTCAACTAGTTGCATTGGATTATCTTTAAGGCCCTGTCTTGCTTTAAAAACATATTCTACAAGTCATTTGATTCTTTACTGGTGTGTCTGATAGGAGCTATCCAGGTTTTTTTTCCCCCCTCTAGCTTACTTTATTGTAAGAATAAAATAGTATATGTACACATGTAATACATATATACAGTATATATGTTAACTGTTATTGGTAAGGCTTCTGGTCAACAATAGGTTATTAAATACAAAGTTTTGGGGAGAATCAAGAGTTATATGCAGATTTTTGTCGACGTGTAGTTCAGCACCCCTAACCCCCAGTTGTTCAAGGGTCAGCTGTACTTGGTTCCTCGGCAGCAGCGACGTGGCTTAGTTATGTAATGAGATGAATCAGAAGCACTGAAGACTGTTCCTTCACCTGGGTCTTCTCATATAAAACTGGCATCATTTAACAAAACTGCTTTTGTAGGGAAAAAAGTGTTCCTAGCCAGGATCTTAGATGGGTTAAGAATGGGTCAATTTAGAAATTTCAGGTATCACACTCTCACCTGTTAATAACTTAACAGTACATACGTTTTCTACTCATCTACACAGTAGCCATTACATTTGTTATAGAATTTAAGGGAAATTAACAGCCATGTAAGACTTAATTTAAGGTGAAGTCTCCTCTAAAATAATGAATTCTAACATCTAATTTCCAAATTCTCTTCAAATTTTAAGGACTTACTGTGGTATACATAATGCCAAACTCATACGCATTTCATAGTGAAAATGTATCCTTAAATTTTGGACTAATCACTAAGGCTCTTTATTCCTTAAAGAAAATTCCCATTAATTTTTAAACATTTTATAATGGAAATGTCCAAACAAGTGTACAGAGAAAAACCCATTACCCAGTTTCAATATTTAACAGTGTATGGCCTACCTTGTATTTATATTCAACCCCTATCCCTTCCTCCTCACCCAGATTATTTTGAAGCAAATCCCACACTTATTCTCCAGCTATTTCAGTATCTCTCAAAGGACTCATTTCCAAGTCCTTTCTCTCTTCCTACAGGATGTTCTTGGTTGAAAATGTTTTCACATGTAATTTTTAAAGTGTTAACAATTTGAGCATTAATATTCATGCTTCTTCCTTCTAGGGACTGGTTTGGTTGAAAGATAAAGAAGCAACACATTGTAAACTTTGTGAAAAGGAATTCTCTCTCTCTAAGAGAAAGGTAAGGGAGATAGGAAGTGAGTCCAAAGGACTTGATGCAAACATGGCTTCTAATTTAACTCAGTTTTTTTCTTTGATTTTTCCATTTAATAGCACCACTGTAGAAACTGTGGGGAAATTTTCTGTAATGCTTGCTCTGACAATGAACTGCCTTTGCCTTCTTCACCAAAGCCAGTACGAGTTTGTGATTCCTGTCATGCATTGCTGATCCAGAGATGCTCATCTAATTTGCCATAAGACTCCAGAATTAAGTCCTTGTGTATGAAAGTACCTACAATGAACGGTTAATGTATGAACCATGTACATGATGTATTTAGATAGCCCTTCTTAAGCAGCTTTCAGACCGTATTGGTATGTTTTATCTTCCATGTATTCAGTTCATGGGAATTAGAAGCTGTAGAATAGCTCAGTTATTCAAAAAGAACTTTCAACAGGGCATGCTTTAAAATAACTCGCTTAATTCCTAATTGATGTAATAATCATGTAACTTATAAAGCCAATAAAAAGGCCAGACAGCAGAACACACATTTGCCTTATTTTGTAAAGGCCTTCTTAAAAATAGGGATTCAGATTCTTTTATTCTGCATATTGTCAAGTTGGTATTTGATGGTGCCTGTAATTTTAATGCACTTTAAAGCTTCACAGTTCTCAGATCAGAAATGCATTGGACTTTTTAGAAGTATTAATATTCCAGTTGAACAGACTTTTCATTAGCTTGCTAAGGTTTCAACCTTAATTACTTGCCCATTTTGCATGAGAAAAGGCCAATTGTTTTATCCTATAAAATTTCCTTTTGGTCCTTTTCTAATCAATGTATTTATTTATACTTTTCAGATATAGTAGGTTAAAGAGGTATTATTTTACCTCAACTTTTTCCTTATTTTGAAAGGAAGTTAAACCAGCCTTTTACATTAAGTTACTTGCACAACTTTCCATATGCTACACCTGACTCGCCAAATTGCTAACTTTTTTTAGGGAGGGCTCACACCTCTTTAAATTAAAAAGAAAAAAAATCCATCCCCAGAAAAAAATGTTTAATAGTAAGCGATTACAGGCTCCTGACTGATTCTCCTCTAAGCATTAAAGGAGAAATCTCAAATAGTTTGCCTTTGATAGGATTTGAGTAATGAAAAACTTTATTCTATTTCCATTCCAGTAACTTTTAGGAAGCATTACAATGTACTGATCCACTACTGCAGTTATGTATAGAGTGAAGTATCAGCCCTGCCATGAAATACATCATCTGTTTCAAGCATGAAAGATTTAATAAACACTAATCCTGTTTTACCATACTTGTAGCACACCAAGAATATGTAAAATGTTACCTTTGTATAATTAATCCTTTGAACAGCATCACCACTTGGGAGATCCTTTTTTCCCCCCACTTTGGTATTAACTTCAGCCATGGACTTTAAGTCTGTGAACCTTAACAGGTTAGATAGGAATCTTTGGTTACTCCCTAGCATTACATTTAGTGAATTACTCATGTCCACCCTCCTCCCACCTAAGATGGGGTAACTTATTCTGCAGGATCCTTTCCTCAGAGTACATATATTTTCACTAGGGTTTAAAATTAATTTTCAAAATTGTCGAAGTGTGAAACCAGGATTTTGAGGATTTCTTTTCTCCATATCCAGTTAGCTTTTGAGGTCTTCAGTTAAACTGCTGTACAGATTTTTAGGTGGTCTTTCTTGAATGCCAACAGAAATACTGTCAAGAGAATTATATTCTTGAACTGTTTTGTACTGATGGGATGATTAACATTTTTATGATTGTTAAAAATGAGAATAAGCAAATGAAATTTCAAATACTAGGTTTTTTATTACTGTGCTTATTAGTACAAATCTTAAAATATGATTTTGCTTAAATTCCAAAGCTGGGTTTCACTCAACAATTAAAACCATGATTTTCAGTTCCCCCTTAAATTCTTTGTTATTCAAAACTCGTGTTTAATCACCATTGACTTTTGGGCTTTTTGTAGTCAAGCTTTTATGACAGCAATACAATTTGCTTCATTTAGTTTGGGCTCTTATTTAAAAGCCATTTATACTAAATGTTGGATTTTGTTATAAAACTTCCAGTTTGTATTGTGAACCTACACTTTCTAATCTTCAAGATTTGCCCTCATAGAAAGTATTTATCTTAATGAATTTCACATACCATTCCCTTGTCTAGCCAGTACTACCACAATAATGCTATCATGGTGCCAAGGAATTGTGACTGTAATTCTTCTACTCTGCAATGTTTTAAAATAAAATGTGAATTTTATAAACCAAATAAAAGATATGAAAAAATTAGCCTTTCAAAGGGCGACTTGCATTTATAACTTTTTATACCTTTATTACTTACATTTTAATAGGGCAGGTCCTAGGAAAATAAAAGCACGTAGGATCTTTAAAAAAGGTAAGTGGTATGAGCCTAATATTTAAATGGGTAATTTGAGGAGTACAAACATTAAAATGGATCACTGCCTGAGCCGGTAAGTTCCATTTAAGCTAACACAACTTCCTTCTCTAACAGTAGAAATCACTCCTTCCTTAGGTGTCACTTTATTTAATGTTCACTTAAGAGTATCTTCTACCAATTTTACAATCAGTAACCGACACAAAGCATTCTAGGACAGAGGCCACACTATTATCTCCCACGTTGATATTTATTACATTAATAACATTTCTAGCAAAAACAAGTAACAAGGTCAATAACTGAATTCACATTGACAGGTTTCATTTTGATCCATTAGCCAATTTGGGAAAAAAAGCCATATTGATCAAAGGGATTAAAAGTAAAAAGCACCTTTTCCTTGCTACATATAGTATTTAACACAATGGCTCTAAAACTCCAAACAGATATCAAATGTAAAATCCAACTTCCAGGACTCATTTGAATTAAAACTATTACATGGACTTGTCTCTTACATTTGTTTAGTCATTTATACAGTTACTGAAAAACCGTATGCTTTATTGGGCAGGAAAACTGAAAATACAGCTGTGAGAATTATACTTCACAGTAAATATTTTTGTACTGCATTCTCATGTCACTGAGAATCTTAACCTAGTCTAAGATATTTTGAGATCACTTACAACTCACTTTTTTGGAAACTTTTTGGTACTTCAGTCAAGTGCTGAGTGAATTTTATTCTAAAACCTAGGGCTAGAATTTAAACTTCCAACATTCTCATTCCCCAGGTAACACAATTATGAATATTCAAAAATCCAGATACCGCTTAAGATCAACATTTCAGAGCTATGCCTGATAAATGACATTTGAAAAGAATGACTAAAATAGAAATTAGCTGAGTTTATACTCCTGAAGCCACCTACACTCATCTTTAGGTTTTTATATTTACAGTATTGTCCAGGAGAAAAAAAGTTACACTATTTTCCAAGTTCTGTTCCAGATGTCTGCTTATTAAGACTTGTAGTTTATGCAAAGGTGAACCATTGTCCTCTAGAATTACACTATACTACTATTTGTAGAGCTAATAGTAAAATACATCAACCCAAATCTTATGAAAGCAGCACATCTTTCGGGAGTAACTAGTATATAAAAAGTATCAACATCAGTGGTTTGAATATAAAAATTTATTTTTAAGTCAAAGTATGCAACAAATAAAACCTACAGAAAACAGATTTTCCCATCACAATCTGTTGCTTTACCAAATAATATTTTGAAAACACATTCCTTCAGTCATTATAAAGTTCTTAAAATACAAAAGAAATTAAATCTGTAAGAAAGTCTAGTAGACCAGACACTGTTGTCAGGACTTTTATGTTGGTGGTTATGCTTTAATACATGCCACGCCATCCACCGCCACTCATGCCACCTTGCCCATAGTAACCGCCACTGCCTCCACCACCACGGCCTTAAAAAAACAAACAAACCTGTTAGGAAATATCCGTGCATACTTCAATGAAGATAATACATGAATTTAAAAGTATCTACACACATGGGGACTAACAAAACAAACCACAGTAACCAAGGACACTTACCATAACCACCCAAGCCATCAGGAGTACCATATCCTCCACTGTAATTGTTACCCATTCCCATTCTTCCAACAGATCCATAACCTCCCTGATTATCTTTAAAAAGGAAAAAAAAAAGTGAGATTGTTTGCTAAGTGTATAACACTGCTCATTTTAAAAACTTTACCTACCCATTCCATCTCTGCCGTAGCCTCCCATTCCAGAACCTCCCATTCCAGAACCGCCTCCGGGAGTAGAATTCAAGAAGAGTTCAATGTACCGATGTTCTTTAAGACACAAAGTAATAGGGAAGGAATGATGGATCAAAATTTATCAATAAAAGGTTAATGAGCAAATATTAACCTGTGCTAGTATTAGCCTGGAAGTATGTTTATATACTTCCTAGTGGAGTGATAAAATGAATGCCAGGTAGGGCTAAAGCTAACCCACCAAATTTTGTTCAAACTACACAACACTAAACACGTAAGTGGTCGGGGCCTCCATTTCCTCATCTATAAAAGGGGTTGATTCATTATTTCAGAACCAGTTACTGTGCTTAAAAATACATTCCATGTCCAAAGAAATAAATTCGAATCATGAAAATAACGTCCATGAAAACTTATTTACTGACTACAAAGTGATTTGTCTAGCCAGATTTAGGAATCACTGGTCAGGGTAAAATTTAATGGCTTAAAATAGCTCTGATGGCATGTAGAAATAACTTACTCAACTAACTTAATGGATGGGTTAAAAAGTGGTAATTTGCAAGTGGCATGGGAACTCAAGCGAGTGCCAAGTAATATACCTATTTTCCCTTTTTAATTAAGCTCAGATAACCTGTCAAGTATTGAGTCTCAATTAACTCTTCAATAAAAAGCCCCCTGGAAAGCCATCTTAGAGGCCATATGGCTTCAGGTCCCTGTGACTGCCAAGAGTTACTTACAGACCCTGTAACATCTTACATTTGAGGAATTACAAATGTTATTTTATAAGCAAGTCCACACCTAAGAAACGAGATAGCAAGCCAAGGATACCACTTACGCATGTTATTCTTATCTTTAGACATGGCAGCCACAGCATCTTCATGTGTCACAAATTCTACGTCTGCCTCTCCTGTTGCTCTGCCATCAGCTCCGATATCAATATGCACTCGTATGGGATTTAGTGGTGAGAAGAACTAAACAAAAGAAAACACTTATTACTAACTTTTCTTTTAAAGATTTTATTTATTTGCCAGAGAGAGAGAGGGAGAGTATAAGCAGGGGAAGTGGCAGGCAGAAGGAGAAGCTAAGCTAGGAGCCCGATGTGGGACTTGATCCCAGGACCCTGAGATCATGACCTGAGCTGAAGGCAGACGCTAACCATCTGAGCCACCCAGGTGCCCCACTAATTTTTCTATTTAGATTATTCAAAGTAAATTACCACATACTTTAGTTTTCCCTCCTCCATTAAAACAAACCTTTTTACTGCCCTGTATTGCAAAGCTAACAAATCAACTACGAAGGTTCTGGGGATATAAACTAATACACTTAGAGGAAAATGCAAAGAAATGATCTCTTTAAGCTACGTAGGGACGTCTGGGTGGCTCAGTCGTTAAGCGTCTGCCTTCGGCTCAGCTCGTGATCTCAGGCTCCTGGGATCGAGCCCTGCATTAGGCTCCCTGCTCATCAGGAAGCCCGCTTCCCCCTCTCCTTGCTGCTCTACCTGCTTGTACTGTCAAATAAATAAAACCTTTTAAAATAATAAAAAAAAAATAAGCTAAGGGGGGGAAGATAAGTGAGTAGAAAAAAATAATAGAAATCTAACCCAATAAATAAATGAAAATGTCTCATACCCTACCACTGAGAGGGAGAAGTCCTCCATTCCCACTCCTCCCAAGAAAGATATTTCAAAATTACTGTTTGAAAGATAAATAGGTCACCAGAGACTTAGAAACATGTGCAGAGAATTTAGGTGTTATGATTCAGACCACTGGAATTTGACAAACTAACACAAACTGTACATGGATAGCTCCAAAATATATCACTTAGTTGTAAATCAAAGTTAATCAGGTTAAAGGAATCCTAAAAGGTACCTGGAACTTAGGACCAATCAGTTCCAAGATCTATAGGTTAATTTCTTTCAGAGCTATGTAGTAAATAGTCCTGGGTTTGTAGGCTACTGGATCTCTACTGCAACTACTGGACAGGTAAATAAATGGGTGTGACTAGATGCACATGGGTTGAAGTTTGCTGATACTCTAACCAATTTGAAACCAACCAGTTTCAAATCAGCAATAGAATCTACTCCCATTATTTTCACAGCTGTTTCTAATCACGCTGTAGGTACAAAGCTGAACCAAACAACTAAACCTTATTCACTTTTTATATTTTCCACTTTCAAAACTTGACACAAGGGCAATTATCTTCCAGTCCTCTCCACTCTATGCTGATCAATCTTTTCACTAAATTCTTAACTGGACTTTATGAATACAACTTTCTACTTGCTTGAATCCCAGATAAGTCAGCATACAATGGACAAAAAAATATTCGTCAACCAGTATAGATAAGAATATGTACGTATTTCCTATTAAAGGGATTTTGACATTAAAACTATAGAGAAAAAGATGAGAGCATTATAAGAATGCTTCAAAATTAGATAGCAGGATAAAATATAAAATCATCAAAAATTACTAAAATTACTCACATTAGCAATGTCATTTTCAGTTGCACGAAAAGGTAATCCTCTCATATGTACAAAATGACCACCATGAAAACCTGAACTTGCATCACCAGCTCCACCATAGCCATGCCCTCCCATACCTAAGAGTAAAATTTCCAAAGATTATAAACTATTGATACAAGTAGTAAAGCACTTCAACGAAACACTTCTTCCCTACACATACCTTTTCCTTTAACAACCAATTAATCTTAACAGTTGTTCTAAACATCGAATCGAGAATTTACCTGTAAGTATACATCTATATAAAGCCCCACATAGGTATGTTCTGAAATATGCTCGAGCTGACGATTTCATGCAAGTCACCTTATCACCACTAAATGGCTGTAAAACACTTAACATTCATCTAAAAATGAGTATGTCTTTAATATTTACCTCTTCCATCTCTCATTCTGTCATCAAAGCCATCATTTCCATAGCCATAATTATTATAGCCACCATAGTCATCAAAACCTCCATAACCTGTGTAATTTAATGAGAAATACATGAATACGCTTTCAAGAGAGAAATTTTATAATCCAGTTTATAAAATCATTTGGTGGTAAGCAGTCTGGTTCTTATTATTACAAGTTTACAACTCCCAACTTAGTGCATGTGAAAAAAAGCAGTAACAC